ACGCCCCTCTCTGGGGGCCCCTTTGGAAACCGTTTCATCTCGCCCAGACCGCTCGTGTTTACTGCCTAGTCAGGTGACGTGACCGGCGCTATTTTTAGCAGGGCTTTCCCGAACAATTCAAGTGGTCAAACTGGACATTTGGAACGGACTATGAATATGGGGATAGCGAGGTAACATAAGTGGAAGTGCATACAATACATACATTCATTAAAAAATATGGCTTTTCGCGTGATGTCCCTTTAAGACAAAATATTTTGATAAGATAGAAGTTGATAGAAATAGGACCTTATATGAGTTTCAATTTCATATGAGATTTATGAAAGAGTAAAAAAAAAATCAATTTAGCGAGCCGATGGCAAGCTTAAATGAAAAGTTCGTTACCAGTTTCATAAATTTCATATTAAAAGGAAACGAGTGTAAGATCCTTTGTATCACATAGTCAAGCTTTGTGGCATTTATTCGTGTAAAACGACAATTTCCATGCGACCTTGAAATGTAAAAAGCCGCCATTTTGAATCCAGTGCGTAAGCATGTGACGTCACGTACTTGTCCTAGGCGTGACGTCACAATTGAAACAATTGACATTTACAACCAATCACAGGGCTGAAAGATCATATTACAAGGGTTATTACGCCAAAAAATTGACATAGGAATATTCACTGGATAACACGACACATTATGTGATGGAAAATGTTTGTTTATTATGCTATTGTGTATGATTATTATGTAAAGCAGAAAACTAACGAACTGTTTTTTTCTAATATCTTGATTAATATAACTATAGAAATGAAGAAGATTTAAGTCAATTATAACTGTCTGCAGTCTTTTGTACACAGATTTTAAATGGAATCTTTTCCTGTAACGACGGAGGCCAAAATATGTAACATTGCACTTCAAACTCGATAAATATAATCGATCATATTCAACTTTAATAAAATCGCAATTATCATTCCGTGAATAATTGGGTAACATAAATAACACTGGAACACATCTAACGTTGAAGCATCATGCTTTGTACATATATTAATGCAATCAAACCATATGAACATTTTAACTTTGACAGAAACGCTATATGATGTCATATACCTTAACCCATTAAGCTGACAAGATCATTTAGACTACAATGTCTTATCAGTAAACACTGTCATCGGCATGCACATATCGATTTTTAGCTCAGCAGTACAACAGCATGGCCAGAAAAGGAGCTGCATGGCTATGTGAGTTTACTGACATTATATATAATTACTTGTAAATGAAACGTCATTATTCTATTTGAGCTTGTTCGTATGATATGTTTATTCCAGTGAAGATAATTAGCATATTTGCTTTATTGGTGGGGTCAATTTCGTGTATGGATTGTTAAGCCTTATCTTATCAGTAGAAACATGTTTGGCGAACAGTGTAGAAGTATTCACGCTGGCATTTACATTGGAATATTGAAATGTGTGTATTTGTCAAATCATCAATTAAAAGCGATTACGATGTCTTAATATGTTAAGGTTGCATATTTTTTTTTGCATTTTTTGTAAACGCGCATGTTGGTAGCTTTTCGATAAATATATAAATAAATTTAAACTATTCTATGCATATTCTAATAAATTGTAAATGCTATTCCTCCTATGAATGATTTCGCATCTTGTTACATTTTCTTCGTCACTTATCCATGAACATACCTGGTATTATTGCATACCCGGATCAACATACTGTACTCATAATGCCAGTGTTCAATCTCTGTAATGCAAGGGGCATGCATTTCAAAATGTAATTATACAGGGTGTTGTATATCTCAGGACTCTGAATTCTATTCGTGCTGAATATCATCGGTTTTTATCCACTGATCTAATCAATTAGTCGAACCAAAAATGGGTTCCGAACATTTTTCAACAATGTTTTGCCTGCCATATTTTGTTCGATTGAGTTTTATAAGAAAGAAAATAAAGCATTGGTGCATGGAAATGCTAGGTTATGTTTCACTTGGAGTATTATAAGCACATACAATTACAGTTATATCAACTAAGCAACACAAAATATATCTGACGTCTTACACTTTTGCGCGAATAGACATTTTTCACTTGAGTAACACACATTGTTACATGTATTTGTACTCACAGTCTGATCGTGTATTCTAAAATGTCAAAAAAACACATATCTGTGTTTTTGCCTTTTTCATTGTTTATAACTACCACAATGTCATTCACGGATCATTTTCTTCTTCCTCATTTTTTCACCTTTTTTTTTCTTCTTCTTCTTCCTCTTCTTCCTCTTCTTCTTCTTCTTCTTCCCTTCTTGTTCTTCCTCTTCTTCTTTTTCTCTTCTTCTTCTCTTCTTCTACTTCTGCTTCATCTTCTTCTTCCTCCCCTTTTTCTTCTCTTCATGTTCTTCCTCTTCTTCTTCTTCTTCTTCTTCTTCTTCTTCTTCTTCTTCTTCGTGTTCTTTTTATTTCGTTTCTGCTCTTTGAGTCGAAACCCGAAATTCTTACATGTCGCAAATACAAATACAAATACAATTGTTTAAACCCTAAGTATTTAATGGATAAACGGCTTATAACGCTACTATATTTATTCATGGTAAATACTAAATGAAGGTTACATTGACTCCAAAAGTTAACTTAATGTTGATATGCTACCTTATATTCAGTACTAAATATATACAAATGTAAACAATTACGCATTGTTTATATTTATGTGTCTTCAACAGGTGCCTGTCTTGCGTTGTTCTTGGGATATATATATGCCGAAGGTATGCACTGTCTGTCTGCCTGTCTGTCTGTCTGTCATGTTATTAGTAAATATGGTCATCATATTAATTCCTAATCGAAACTGCGTGCTATATATACCACCGTATCACACCTCTCCGACACAAACTGTTCTACGTAACTCATTCCTATATCTAGCGTTAAGACCTGTGATTCAAATGAAGGTAACAGACTAGCGTAAGTGTCATGCCATTTTTAATATTAATGTTTGTAATGCAATATCTTTAAAACTTAACATTTAGTCGATTTCAGCTCATTTGAAAATAGTAGATCTTGCTTTTAAAATCCAAGTTTAATTGTGTATTGTATACCATTTTACGTAAATTATCATTTGTTAGTAAAATTTACGGTTCTAGTTTCTTATTCGGTTGAATTATCTTAATATGTGGCTAAATGTAAACAACACACCTTCAATAAATCATGCATCCTTGATATCCAGGATTTATGCTCACCTCCGCTCTCTGTACACTTGGAATATGTCATAGCAAAATCGAAGGCTCAGTATGCACCGCCTTGTGGATAAAACGAGAAGACTAGTTTGACCCGTTGATGTACATCATAAGAATATCGCGGTCGCGTAGCGGAAAATGTAATGGATTTGAAGCTGTGCGTCGCTTCCCTGTAAATTTCAAAGAACAGGTATTAGCCTAGTACACGTAAATGATCATTCTTTTTTACCTGACCTAATACAATTGCTGGTCATGTGCCTTCGATTGTTTGCTATAACATATTCCAGGGAGGCAGAGAGAGAAATTATGCGTAACCGCTGGATTTCGAGGATGATGAATTATGTCACTGGTGTATTTCCTTAATTATATATTATAATACCTCAATGGAAGACGACGGACTGGAGTGTTTCGAGTGTGCTGACGTGATGGACCCCTCGGATTGTAACTTCACAACAACGCTGTGCAATATGGACAGTGTGAGTATTGATCGGTATCAACTAATATCTAGAGGTTATTCCGAATGTAAGAATGTGAAATCTCAAATATTGTGTTGCTGGATAATACATATGTATAACTGAATTATTTATAAATTTTATTTTTATCATCTGTTTAGTTTATCTTTAAATCTCAAAATATTGATTCGAATACAATTTTATAAGGAGAGGTGCCAATGTGGGCTTTTTTTTTGACTGTCAGAGACACTTTTTAGACAAAACTACACGTAACTTTTGGAACCTTTCTTCACATTGTGGTTGTATTTTGTTGCATTTTGTTGCATTTTGTTGCATATAATTATAACTTACAGAAGAAAACTGGCACATACATGTAGTTGGTAAGAAAGCCATGTTGGCATTGTTATTTATCGGCCGAATCGTTTCAACGATACTCTCCCTGAAACAGTAAAACAATATACTATAGCATAACTAAGACTCATCAGTTTAAATATATGTATGCACAAACAATGTCCGTATTGACCTTGTTGCAACGTTTCAAGACCGACTGGTGCATTTGTCAAGCTATGACTGAGCTAGCCAAATACACAAATAATGTACATAGTCAAGTCACCGTGTCGCAATGTTTCAAGATTTGTTGATCCTTTGCAGTTCCATGACTGTCAAAGCCATAGCATGTAAACAGGGATCATTCGGCCTTAAACGTTTCAACACGATAATACGAACGTTGATTGTGTATAAAGTAAAACTGTGATAACTCACGATAACATAAATGTAACTTTCGTAATTGATTTTTCTTTTTTAGATGTGTTCGGTATACCAGACCCAATTGGGACCAAGAGATGAAATGAGATATGTGGCTGGATGCTCATCAAAAAAGGTTATCTTTCCCTAAAATCAGAACTGTTGTAGATAAGGTTTTGTTCAAAGTTATATTGGGTGACTGTAACTCGGTTTTGGTGTGTAGTAACTTGAGACGTATTTCATGCATAGGATGATATTTTCTTTGTTGTTTTTCTTAAATTATTTAATTATTTATTATTCTATTATTGAATTATTTGCTTATTTATATATTTGTATTTATAAATTTGTTTTATTTTGTATCGAATTTGCCTCTACGATAACTCTAAATGATCACACTTATCTCTGAGACATTTTTATATGTATATTATTAACAAAACTTAATTAATGAGCTGTTTTCACCCTTGATAGTTTAAGGCTTACGCTCACTTTTGATATATGCACCTGTGATGTGTCAATATCATATTATCTATTAGTTCGGTCCCCTTCCCCCAAAGACAAACGTTGTAGTGAATGTACTGTCACCAGATGTTGAGAGAATATTCATTTAAGTTTTGTATTCCGTCTTTGTGTATTGCAGTGTTTTCTTCTCTCGTGGGCAGGTATTGATTGTTACGTCATTGTTTAGTGTGATAAAATTACGCCGTTTTCTCAAACATTGATGTCGTTACTCTCACAAACAAATGACGAAACAATCAATATCTGCTCACAAGAGCAGATAACTTTGCAATACAAAAAGACATAATACATGCAGCTGTTAAATATCATTCTGTACATAGGCACAATATGCGCCACCTTGTGGATGAGACAAGAAGACTGGTTTGATCGTTTGATGCAAATATTAAGAATCGCGTGTTTGAGTAACTATGCTATTGTTGACTGGCGTTGTAGTCGGTTGTCGACCTCTTTTAACTTTCAAAGGACGAGCATAATTTATGAGCTAAGCGACTGGTATTTTTTTTTAACCAGAGACCGACAAATTAGCTAGCGGCGTGTCTCCGGTTATACTATGATATATCCAAGGGGAGAAGAGAGCAAAACTGAGTGTAACGTATAAAGTACTGAGCTTGTGTTGTCTTAACATTTACGTGTAATTATCCGTTGAATTCCAGCTCTGCAGCACTATTGTAGGAATGTCGGGAAATAATATGTGCTACGAGTGCTGTGACACCCCAAGGTGTAACAATCGGCTATGTGCAAGGAGTAAGTATGTGACAATATACATCATCCACGCTGACGTGCAATACGTCACGATGCTTGATAAAGTGGAAGTGTTGACGTCATAAACATATGAATTCAAAACAAGACATGTGATTATCAGTTTTTGTCATTTCGTAGTATCTTCAATAAAATTTAATCAGTCTGGAAATATCGATGTATCAAATTTTTGCTTTATACACAAGCAATGTACGTATCGAGCCTATCTCAGCGTGTTGATCCAGTATCATAATTCATGCATTAAGCATACACCCTCTATAAATAAAAGAAACACTCTTTGTCGAATGACGTGTGAATTGTTCAAATTGCATCGTAGTGCAGGTAAAATATTCGTATATCTAACTTAGTCAGATCTTAACAAATCGACTAGTCGATCTTGCAACATTGCAACACGTCCAATACCTACATTGTTTGTATACAAAAATAAACCTTTTATACCTGTCTAATAGTGTTAGGTCATGTAGCATTACACGTGCCATAGCGACGTCATTATGTGACGGTATAGGTCTTTGCAAGTGACACGTTCGCTTGAAGTAACCCATTGTATGCATTACGTAAGTATAATACCAATATGCCAATAATTGGAAGATTTTATTTCCAAGAAGGGGATATCGTTTGTTTATTAAACCTCGATTGGAATGGAATGTCTCTAACATGCCAGCTGCTAGTGTCGGGCCAACATATCGTGGAAAGTTAAAACTATCTTATCAGACCATACCACCGAGATAAGAGTTATACACATTCAAATGCACAACATTTTTCAATTGGAATTAGCGTTGACTGTATTATCAATGATCCTGATTATCAATGAAAAGGTTAGAGAATCCAGGTATTAGCGATTATCCTGATTATTAATGAAAATGTTCGATAATCCAAGGATTAGCGATGATTCTAATTATTAATGAAAAGATTACAGAATCCAGGGATTACCGATGATCCTGATTATTAATGAAAAGGTTAGAGAATCCATGGATTAGCGATTATCCTGATTATTAATGAAAAAGATTACAGAATCCAGGGATTAGCGATGATCCTGATTATTAATGAAAATGTTAGAGAATCCAGGGATTAGCGAAGATCCTGATTATTAATGAAAAGGTTAAAAAATCCAAAGATTAGCGATGATCCTGATTATTAATGAAAAGGTTAAAGAATCCAGGGATTAGCGAAGATCCTGATTATTAATGAAAAGGTTAAAGAATCCAGGGATTAGCGATGATCCTGATTATTAATGAAAAGGTTAGAGAATCCAGGGATTAGCGATTATCCTGATTATTAATGAAAAGGTTAAAGAATCCAAGGATGAGCGATGACAGGATTTTTGACGCTTGGATTAAAGCTGGCTCATTATTGATTCACATCCATTTCTATGAATTGGATTTCGATTTTAATAATTTACTTTTTTTTTTCTTTTTTGTTTTAATTAAGCAACAACACAAACAACGCCAACAAGTACACAAACAACAACAATAAAAACAACACCAGCACCGACGACTCATGCCTCGCATCACTTTACTCACAGACCTGTTGTTGCTATGACACCTCATATGTCATACCACGTTGGAAGTTCGTTTTCGATATCCTGTAGATTCGCAGGAAGCCCTACACCAACTACACGCTGGTATTTTAATGGGGTAAGTACACATATATATATACATATATCAATTCATTTACAATTTATTAATTTAATTCTTAATAAAATTGTGTGTGAATGTGTATCAATTATGTATTTTGATTGAGGTAAATCTGTGTTCATAATGACCGAGACAAAATAATGTCATCATTGATTAGTTTTAATGGATTTATTAAAGATCTTTATGTTAAATGAGATTGTGTTTAAATACGTATCGATTATAGATTTTTATTGAGGTGAATTTGTGCCTTAATAGACCTAATAAAAGACGAAGACCGAGACAAAGTCGCGTCATTATAAATTTTCACTTTTTTTCATTTCATCTTTATGTAAAATAAATATAGAGTCAATATCGACCAAACCAAAGTCGACGTCATTTCCATTTTTCACTTCCATACAACCACAAATGTGTAATAACAATAAGTCCGTTATTGTTAAATTTGGTATACATATGTGCTGTTTTTATCATCAAAGGAGAAAGATGTCAGTTAATTATCATTACAAAGTACTGTATTTGGTTTGCAAGAATTGTGACGTTATCATTAAAGAGACACCATAAAGATAACATCGTCTCACTATTTCTTTAAAAATTGGTAAAATTGTAAACTTTATATTGTTTACAACAATTATGAAACAAGATTTTTTAACTTATATAAACCACTCGTGTTGGCCAGGATGTTAGCGCGATACCTGTTAACGTGCGATTGGGGAATCGCACCCCGGTCGCCTTGTGAATGGTAAGTGTGTCATCCACTGCGCCACCTCACTACCCAAATAGTAGCACTGAATCTATGTCTGTTTTCGCCGTATGTACGATATTGTTTTATTAATTGTTCTGTTGACGCTATTGATACTACGATATATGTTATTGTTTTATTGTTATTGTATATACTGTACGGCTATCATATACTATACATGATTTAATATATTTTACAGCATACCACACTACCGTCAGACGCTCACGTCACGCACCACGGCGGGACGACCTACCTTAGAATATCAAACAGCAAAGTGGATGATGCTGGTATTTACAAGTGTGCGGTTATGAACACCGTAGGCACTGCGTCCGCAACAACTGAACTTATTATCACTGGAGGTATGTGTAAAAATCAAATTATTTTGTAGGTATGTGGCCAACAAAGACAAAAAATGCATCGAATACAATGTACTGTCACCAAAAGTAGAGAGAATATCTGTTTATTCTTTTAAATATGCGGCTGTTAAATATTATTGTGTAAAAATAAATATTTACAATAAAATAAAATAGTTCTTTTAATTTCCGAATGAATTACCCTTTCCTGTAAAACAAAAAATAAATGGGGCCGTGACCAGGATCGTTAAAGTAACCAATGCGTACTTGGTTTAAACTTTGTTTTATTCAAATATAGTTTGACAAACAACGAAGTACATGTTTTATAGAACAGAAAAGAAAACAAAAATAAGTGTCGTGACACTTATGTAAATGTGTTACCTGCTTAATAATCAACTTGTCAACACTAGCTACAATAATGAAGTAATGTGTACAATATAATAGTTATGGGAATATGGGAGGGGGTAATGGATTGTTATGCAGTGGAAACCAGGAATGAATAACATATCAATATACATATGATCATCATCAGGTAATATCATATTGCTCTATTGCAATGAGTATGTGGAACACGAATCTGTAAAATATGACTATGCAATAGTAGATGAAAATTTCAGCAATGCTGTAAATGAACACTCGATAAAGGTTAAAATGTATATACAAGTTACATAGAATAAATCACAACTAAATCAACTATTGACAAAATTTGTATGTCACAAAGGACCGCCATGATTATTAAAAACGTGGCAGTTCACATACTAGCCATCACACTTATCAAATATAAGTCCATAAAACACTTTCCCGTCTCGTCCCTGGCACGTCCTGCTCGCTCAAGGTAACACATCACTTTATCAAACTATCATAATCATGGCCAGTTAGTGACATACTATGGTATGAATAAATGCAATGGCAAAATGACTAAATAAGCATATAAATCCAAATACATAGTAGTAAAACGAATGCAACACAACATACATATATATATATATATATGTCAAAAAGAAATTGTTAAAGGACTATTCGTTTATTTGAAATCTTTTAGTTTTGAATATATAATTTTGGACGGCTAGAAAAAATGTAGTGTTTTCTTGATGGGTTAGAGAGTCATCACCAAAGAGTAAAAGATTAGTAGATAGTTGATACGGCAAACTCAGAATCAACTATCTACTAATATTTTACTCTTTATGATGACTGTCTTAATAGGTACTTAAAGTACTAGCACGCCTATAACAGAACATCATGGCTCAAACCGGTCATCTTATAAATAATAATACCATTTAATGGCTACGTCATCATACAACTTAAGATCAAATGGCATTCATATCATCAATGAATATCATGACCAACTTGTACACGACATTATTGCAGCAAACCAACTCTTAAAAATGCCTGATCTATTCATTAAAACAACATACACAATATTGTAGTGACTTATACTAAACGTTGAAATCTGCTCAATTAGAGAATTTTGACTTTAATTCGGTGTTTAGATATCTAAATGTAAGATACAAATATTGAACAACATTCAGTTAGCACTTAAAGTAAATGCCAAATGGAACGTCATAAATTCAAGATCAATCGTTAACGCGTTTCATGAAATTTGTTACTTTCCTTGTGGTATTCATATGAAAAATGCAATTCCTTCAACGTTTAAAAGTCGTGACGTTCAAATAATATATATACGTTCTTCACAGATAAACCAACATTCATTGAAAGACCGCCTGCGCATCTTGACATGATTACCGGCACTGGCGACTACAGCGCCACCTGTCGAGCGAGTGGATCGCCATCGCCAACAATACACTGGCTATTTAATTTCGTAAGTATTACATGATTTTCTACTCAATTGAATAGTCTTCATTTCAAGAATTGTTGCCGCAATGTATGTCTACTGAAATACCAAATACGGTAAAAACTTTATGCTCGGATAGAAAAAGATTATTATTTACTGTTATTAGTTGTATAAGAGACAGGTGTATAGTGGTAGAACTGTATATAACGTAAAACAGTACATTTGTATTTAAAAAAAAAACAACAGTTGAATAATGGCACATAATTATTTAGTATACATGTTTGCCGTAAAGTGATACATTGTAAAATTGCTGAATTTCTGTATGAAACAACGGGTCTGGTTTGTGATTTCTCGGTATATCGTAGATGTACTGTTTCCTAGTATCCTTCGATACTGACACCGGAAGGATATGGCTGTAAAAAGACTGAATTTTCCTACTCAGGAAGTGTTAATTGTAATGATACATAATATTTCGAGGTTCTTATATACCCCTTTATCACAACCTAGTTCGTAGGTTGGCTCAAGGCGGTTTACAAGTTATTATCCGTGGTTATATGGCTTTTGCAACCAGCCGAAATCTGTCTCAACTCCCTGGGGAGCATACAACCGGTGCTGCCATTTCGGCGCTCACAGCTAGCAGTCAAATGGCTTACAGAATAAAAAGAATTAGAATTAGAATTAGTCAACAATTCAAGCACGGCCCAACCACGTACGCATTTACAGCTGAATAGACTGGAACAAGCGGAGTAAAGTATCTTGCTCAAAGATACAACGCCGGGCCGTGCCGAGCCGTGCCGAGCCGTGCCGTGACTCGAACGTGCAACCCTTCAGTCACGAGCCCGGCGTCCTAACACTATAGACTAACGTGCCCTCTATAGTAGTGAAACAGTACAGAGGTGTTACGGTATCGTTGTAAGGCGGTAGATATGTATAACAACACAGTTGTAAATCGGCCAAGTTGTAAAACGGTGCATTTTTATAACGGCATAGCAGTGTAACGGTAAAATTGTAAAACGGTCAAGTTGTAAACTATATGACCTAATTTCGTTACGATCAGAACAAAAACAATATGTTACCGTTATAGAAACACTGTATTTTGTTTCTGAACAAAGACAGGTGATTTCTTCTATAACTCTATTCAATTAAATACAAATTTATGTTTCAGTCTATATTGATATTTACCTACAGTTGATTTAAACATATTTTATTGTAATTTATATACAATGGGAGTTGGGCACAAGTTTTACAACTTATATTAAGCCCTTTCCCTACAATATATTACTACAAATGATCAAGATGGCATATAACATATATATTCACATTTGCTTTAATTGAGAGAGAGAGAGAGACAGAGAGAGAGAGAGACAGAGACAGAGACAGAGAGAGAGACAGGGGGGGTGAAGAGAGACAGAGAGAGAGGAGAGAGAGGGAGAATGAGAGAGAGCTAGATTCGGATTAGTTAGTAAACATTAATATAAGAAGTGCAGGAAAATATACTCAAAATCTGTTAGTATCTAGAATAAATTGCTGCGTCTGTTTGGCTATTAGGGTGTTTTCTTGATACGACAATTCACTTTTACCGTATAGTAGTAGCTGCAAGTTAAGTGGAATGAAATCATTTAATTCGCGGTAGAGTTTAATTCTCTGATCTACATAATTATTGCAAGTAAAAAAGAAGTGATATGTATCTTCGATAGGATGTCCACATTGACAGTGCTGAAAATCTATTAAATTAGCATGAAATAAGTGATTGTTTAAGGTACTAGAGTTATTTCTCAATCTGGTGTGTAAAATATTACTTTTTCGATCACCAAGGAGATAATATATAGGGACTTCTGAAGTATTAAGCCTGCGAAGAGTGTCTTTAAAAACTGTATATGAAACGCTGTGGTTTATATTACCTACAGTTAAGACATCGTGATGACGTCGGCAATTTATATCTGTTTTATATTGCAGCCACATTCCATGGAAGCGCTGTCATCGATACACACAAATCACGCGCAGACAACCTTACACATAACTAACCCTCCAATGGACTTGTCTGGGGGTTACATCACATGCTCCTATGAAAATCACTACGGAACAATTTCGACGAATGTGACGCTAACTGTTCATCAAACAAGTAGGTGAACAACATGAGTATAAGTTACATATAGCAAACAAATTTCAGAAAATGTATTGCTACATATCTTCGAACAGCGTTCCCCATGTACCAGGAGGTCGTTAGTCCAAGAACAATCGACAGTGTTTTGATACGTGTGTGTTTTAATACCGCGGTCACATCCTACTGTTACGCACGTGACGTAGTTGATCGTAGCTGGGGATGACCGTAGATGACCTACATTAAAAGTAATAAAACGTAGTTAGACGTAGTTCAACGTAGATTGAACTATCAAGAAACTCATGATGTGGCCGTGGCCAGCCAAACATTTTCCAACACGTTCAAAATATATCTACAGTGAGTTTGGATGCAAAGACCCTACTGTGACCGTAGTTTGAACGTAGTTAACCCTAATTTACCCTAGTTGACCGTAATTGTCCATACTTGAACGTTTATGTAGTGTTTGCCGTCGTTGACAGTCGTGTTGACCATAGTTGACCATAGTAACATGGCAATACGGTTTAAAACTACGGCCAAGTAGGGTCAAGCAGGGTCAAATAGGGGCATTTACTAGAGTTAGACTACGCTTTGATGTACGTTCACAGTACGTTCGCAGTATTGTTAAGTACGGTTAAATAGGGTGAAATAGGGTATAGCAGGGCTAAGTTATGTAAAGTTCATAACTACGTCTAACAACGTTAAATACGTTTAAATTAGTTTACCTACGGTCTACTACAGTCAACTACGGTCAACTACGTTCGTGACCGTAAGATGTGACGGCGGCTCAAGGCACGTGTTCGAACCTTAACGTTGTAGAAGACTTTTTTATTATTTTGAAGTAAAGCCTTGGAATAGTTTGGTAGAGATGAGTATCAGGGACAATACATTGTAAAATCAACGTGTCCACTGTATACCCAACAATTTCGAAAAAAAAAACGCAGGTTGAGTATTTAACCCGACCTCGTTTCAAGACTGTCTTATGTTAAAGCCATTTTAACTGCAAGGCATATCCCGCTTATTTCTGAAGATTTCTTTCGGCAAACTCCATGAGGACAGTTCAATATTATGTCTACCATTTTAAGGAATCTGTGCATTTCATAGAAAATTAAATTACGCTTTTTATTAGTCAGCATTTAGTTCAAATAATGTATGTATCGTATATGCCTGTTCAATAAATATATCAGCTTTCACCAAGGGCGGGTCAGTGGTAATCTAACGTGACAATTTTGACGTCATAATAATGATAACGTCAACAAACAATCGCCCAATGGCATTCATAGCATAAATGAATGCCAACTGACTTTCGTAGGGTTATATAGTGGTAATGCCATACGATGGTATATATTATTATATGGTATATACATGTCAGATTTCATGTTTCTTTTGCATGATGACACATTAACTAAGCACGTAACCGAAATTTAAGCTTTTTATCTAACTTTGCGTTTTATTAATACATGTTATACAATAATCACTACAAAATGTAGGCGTTGATGATTTTTTTTCAGAACTTAATTTACAGTATAATAGTGCTAAAAATTACAAAGTTATCCTTTTTTGTCGATTGCACGATTTGTTTTTTATTCGTCAGCAACGACGCCATCGACGACAACCAAACAACCCACCACCCTACCTGTCGGTCACGTGCATACGTCACCTGTTCCACTGACAATATCACTTCCGGCAAGTTTAAACATACAGATCGGAAGTGATGTAATTATTCCGTGCAATGCTACCGGAAGTCCAACTCCTCATATCACATGGTCTCAAATTGCGGTAAGTATTCAAAAAGTACAATATTACATTAAAATGAACGCCTCACCTGATATTTGCTCGGTGTAAATTTCGTCCTTCACATTACATTACTACATTAGGAGAGGGGTTGTATAGGCAATACGCCTGTTGTCCAATTCCTTTTGAATATGTTATAAGATGCAATATTCAATAACATTTTTGTGTAATGTAATAACATTACTGCGTTTATTGTTTATGTTAATAATGTTCGTTGTAGTGCTACATTTTCCCTCCATACGAAAGGCAAAACATACTACATTTGTAGATGCGACGAACATTTCCCGTTAAACAGTATGACGGACTGTCGATTCAGATAAAACGATGCATTCTTCAAATTCTTGGTAGAATTTGCTTAAACTAAAGTTATTTTTAATGATGTATTAAAATAAACATGATTGAAACATGACTTTTTTGTATTTATGAGGTATGAATGTGGAAACCAGCTTCACGCAAAAAGAACAAACATAGCGTAGCGACAATTGTTCAATTTAAGTTTGAAAGAAAATTTACACATTTATATGTTTATGTATGTATACTAATTTTATATTTAACTTTTCAGGGTAAATTTCCGAGCAATGTCTTCCAAAATGGAAATTCGCTGTATATCTCGACCGCCTCTCCCACAAATAGTCGAATATACATGTGTACTGCTGAGAACTCCAACGGCAATGCTTTAAAACTGATCAGATTGAACGTACAAGGAGGTGAGTATTCTGATGTTTTCATTATCCCTAAGATATGATTATTTTTCTAAAACCATAAGTAATCTCTAAACATTCGCTTACTGCTGTCAAGTTAAGTAAAAGTAAAATTTAAGAATAGCAAATCGAGTCACATTGGTACATGTACATATAACAAAAATTGTACATACGCTTACAGCATACCCGAATCGACATCAATTTGTAGACAACTGGTACACATTTGTGTGCACTGGTCATTTGTCTGATGAAGGTGACAGATTACATACCGCACTAGTCATCGAAACGTCACATAGAAACACGTATTAGTGATGTAACAAGAATACATACTAACCAGCCTGAAAAGCATGTTTAGAAATAAACAGTTCGAAATTAACTGTAGTCCTAAGTGTTTTTTCCTACATGCAATTACCTCTCCTAACTTCCGGTTATATACAATTTTCGTACAGTTTGGCCAGGCCTCTTCCGTTGACCAGGGAGCTCAATAAATTAAACCGACTCCGAAGTTCAGGGTTCGAATTCTGGTCTGACACTCAGATCAAAGTTGTTGATTCGTTTATCTCTACTCCCCCTTTACAAGCACAGTTGGCAGAACAATGCATTCAGTTGAATATTATTTGCACAGTTGACACAGTCATGCATGTGGCTAAACGGTTTTGTTTCGTCCTTTTCTTTTTTTTCATTTGTTTCCGACGTCAAGTTTCTCCATCTATAACCGAAAGACCAGTTGGAGGAAATGTAACTCACGGAGAAAGTGTCCATATGGTGTGTACGGCCTCTGGAAACCCGACTCCAACCATTTCATGGAGCTGGAAATCGGTAGGAAAATAAATTGGACCAAATTTATCTTGAATCTCAATATCATGATAATTATTTTCTTCTGTTATTCCTTCATTTTCTTTTTCTAATATTCGCAAATTTTCTTCTTCTGACATTACACTTATTTTTCCTTCCTTCTTTCCGAAAATCGACCGCTCTACTTTCCGTTGTTTTTACCTAGCATTCTTTAATTCCTTCTGACATTTAAATTTAGCATCCTTATTTTTCATCAGGTGCTTTTTCCTTCTTCCATTCCTTCACAGATGACCATTTGCTCTGTATATATCTTTGTCTTTTTCAACTAAGTTTTTTTCTTATCTCATTTCCTTTCTGACCCTCTTCATTCCTTCTCCAATTAATTGATTTAATTAAGCAATCTTTTACCGACATTTCTTCCCTTCCTGCGCCCTCCTAATATTCATTTAGCAATCTTCTTGTCCATTCCTTCCGTCTTGTTCCTGTTGAAAATGCGCAGTTGAACATCACCTTGAATGCTGCCAAGGAAAACGTGTTTCGTCATTCAAAATATATTCTACATTTAAATGCCGTGTCTAGAATAACAGCATATAATATCCATAGATAAAGGTTGTTAATAAAACAGAAACATCTACCTATTATACGTGTCTGCACAACTATCCCTACACTTGTCGATTATTCTGCTGTTCTGTTTTAATTTAGAAAGCAAACGGCGTTGCAATTGATGAAGCCAGTCTAAAATTCATCCCCGGCGTGTCCCTGCACGATTCCCACCTGACAATAGACAACGCCTTCGAGTTACACAGTGGTACATACGCTTGTACCGCTTCAAACGCATACGGTACCGTCACTACGGACGCTACTCTCAATGTGCTCACTGGTAGGTTTCTATTTGGCTTCTACATCGTTATTTTCTGTCATTTAAATGTAAAATTTGCATAAACAATTTTGAACAAGCTTGGCAGATGTCATACGAGCTCCATAATACAATGTGACGTTTGGAATAAGATTCATCAACTTTTTATGAATAATAAAGGCTCTGTTTGTTTTGAGCACTCTTTGCTTGACACAGGGAACAGGCGTTTTTGAAAGCTCTAAAGATACATTTTCAATTTATGTTAGTGTTCAAACGTTCTTTGCCTTTATCTTGTATTTGTATAACACGTTTAACGGATACGCACATGACAGATTTGCTCAATGTCCTTGCGATCTTGCTATATTGTATTAAGTACCTCACATCCCTCACAAATGCCTTATGACGTCCCTTACGATTTAACATTGAATTTTTTATGTCTGAGATATTTCGTGTCTAAAACATTCCTTGCTAGTGTCAGGAGACATCTGAATGAGAAAAGCATGTTTCAGATTATCGCTATCTTCGCCCGCTGTAATAGGTTTTGGTTTTGAAGGATTGGATGTATTTCATGAATTCAGTAATTACCTAGTAATGAAGGTATGCACATTGCAGCAATCGGTTCCTCAGTCAAACCGTGCATGTGTCCCTAATATAATAAACATTTTGTGTTTAAGATGTCTCTTGAACCCTTCAATAATAGTTTTCATATTATAATTAGTATGACAATATCGAGTTCTGCATTGATTTAGTTTGGTGGCCGTCGGTCAAGGTGAAAAGGTCAAAAGACAATGTCAAGGATAACGCTCGGCCACTTTTAAAGTAAAAAGCATGTTTGCATGATACAATGTATTTCATAAACCCAAACAAATTATGATTATTTGCCTTTTGTTCTGGTATCGTTAAGTTCTTCACCTGATAAGATTACGGTTATCATCGGTCCTGGCTAAAAGGTCAAAGGTCACGGGCAACCTTTGTTTGGGGTATCACTTTTACTTTTTATTATATTTTCTACCGCTGTTGTTTTTCTCACATTGTAAAAATTCAGTATTTTGTTCTATATTTCACACAGATGAAAATTTGTTGTGTGGCTTTCGTTTCGATGTTTTCTATATACGTGCCATTTTGTACTTTTATCTTTGTGTATATTTATCTATTTTGTACAGCGCATGTTCATGTTGCACCACACATATTGGTTTCACCATTACTCACTTCCACTTTGTACGGAAATGACGTCACGATTCAGTTTAACGCCACAGGGTATCCAAAGCCTAGCATTTCCTGTTTGTATAACGTATGTAAAACACGCATGCTAATTTGACTTATTTAAATTTTTCAATTGATAGAAATAAGTTTTGCGCAAAGAAGATAATATGTGATACTTATTTGCCTTCATATTCGGGTGTCGAAAGAAAAGGACAAAGTAAAGGTCATCGACCTCAAACTAAACATCCGTCTTTGCGTATTGCAGAGTTATCTTCTCTTGTGAGCAAGTATTGATTGTTACGTCATTGGTTTGTGTGAGAAAAATGCGTCTTTTTCTCAAAAATTGATGACGTTACTCTCACAAACCAATGACTTAACAATCAATAACTGCTCACAAGAGAAGATAACTCTGCAACACGCAAAGACGGAATATAAGAAGAGCGTTGAATTATCCTGAAATACATAAGATAGTTTGTGTTTTCGCCTGTGTAAACAAAATTAACATCTTCAAATTCAGAAAGCAGCACTACCTCGAAATGTGCTCATGACAGAAACTCAAATAATAGTCACTGCAGCGACAAATGAAAACAGCGGCAAATACCTTTGTAACGCACATAACATAGACGGAAGTGATACGGTTGAATTTCAAATTACAGTGGTTGGAAGTAAGTAGAACTTATCATACAAAGTTTCAGGATTGTTGTTTTGTTCAACTTGAATCTTTGTTCATGTAGCGTAAAAATTACTTGCAGTGTCATGGGTCAGCAAAAGTAAAAATATTCAACTGATATTTATTGACAAATACCATATATATAAAAATATATATTTATTTTGTTGTTGCAATGCGGAAGCTTTCAAAAAATGAGAAGCTTTTTGTAAATTTGCTACGCAATGGCCAATTACCAACGTAAAAAGCGCACGATAGACGATATCATTGTCTGTTATTGTGAAAATTACAGGTTTATATCTTCCATATCTTCTTTAACAGATGTCGAATGAATTTGAAATTTAATGTTTGTGTCGTCCATTTACCTCAGATTACGAATATGACAACTAGTAGCAAAGCCTGGATGAGGCCGGAAATGACCCTTAACGCCTCTACTCCTTTGAATATATGTTTGTGTTAATTATCTGCTGTCATGAAAATGTGGCCGGTGACACCCACAATACATAACATTGGATGGTCGGGTTGCTCAGTCGATATCGCACTCGCCTTTCGTCAAGGCGGCCGGGGTTCGATTCTCCGATTGGGCGTGAACAAGTATGGGTTCACCTACCCGATCACGTGGGTTTTCTTCGGGTACTACGGTGTCCCCCCACATTAAGAACCCCCAGCGTGCTTACATCCCGGTCAACAAGAGTGATTTTTATAAGTTGTAATAACTTATTTCATAATTGTTGTAAGCCAAATAAAGTTTATATTATATATCATCTCATCTTTAAAGAACATTGATTTACGCACGAACCACCTCGGTTGATCCAAGGAAAAAACACTTTAAGCAAATAAAATAAACACTCAGGGAATTCAAAATTACAAAGGGTCATTTTCGGCCTCATCAGGGATTTAGGAATTATTTGTAATATTCGTAATCAGGGATAAATGAAGTATGCAAAAATGAAATTTCATATTCATTCGACAACTGGTTAAGGAGATTTTTATTAATGCGTGAGCATCGTTTGTTGAGCGCTATATCGTTGAATTAAGGAAATTAACTAAACATTCTTCATTTTTTTGAAAGCCTCTTTTACAGAGAAAAACGTTCGGAATTGTGATTTGTATTGTTCTTACAAATCAGCATATTATTTGATCACCGTTAGTACAACGAAGATAATGCAATTCATTTTTCTGTGAGAGTAAACGCCAGTTTGTAACTATTTAAGTAAAATAAACCTAAAAGTTATATGATTAGTGTTAATGACGTAGTAGTAATAATGACGTAGTAGTGATAATGACGTAGTAATGATGATGACGTCAATCATCAACCAGATGCTTTCAAAGCTGATACGACTTTCGTAGCATCATGATGGTGACATCGCCATCATATCGTTAATCTATTGAAATGTATGTGTATATTTATATACAATCACACTAAAAACATTGCTGCCCTCAACGTAAATCGGTAAAAAATGCCAAATCCGTCAGACTTATTTCCTAAATGACTGAAACATGAGTGTTTTGATTACCTATCCATGTACATTTTAACAATATCAAATTTAAGAGATTTGCTGACATTGATGCACTTGTTCCTGTTCGGTGGGATATTTCTGTTTATATCAATGTTCTTTGATATCTGTTAAGTGAGTCCGTCCTTCATAACGAAGCCTGTTACCAAAACTGTGCTGTTCGGAACACACTCGAGCTTGACCTGTACCGCAACAGGTGTACCGACTCCAAACATCTACTGGGATTACAGATCGGTATGTGTTTTATAAGCATATATATACATTTGCTCTGCATCCTTCCATTGAAATGCATTGAGAAGCAAAATGTTATTATGAAGTTATAACAATATTTGCTATTGTGACGTAATCGATCTCTGTTGTGACGTCATCAATGTCATCGTAGCCGACACTTTATTTGCTGTTCTAAATAACTACATTAAGTAAACTACTCTCTCAACATGTTAATATAAATAATGAATATTTTAAGAGATATTGTTATGGTCCTATAAAGCATTTCTATTCCTGCCAAACTTACATAAAGCCCCACCGGGCTTTATAACGTTTTTTATCAATGGCAATGTGTGTTATAGGACCATAACAACACTTAAAACATTAATAGCTTAACTCAGCTGCACAAGATGACAACTTTTTTTAACGTAGGTAAAGATTGCTTGCATGTCTATATCTGTATATAATATAATAGCCTCACATATCAGTTAATTAACCCTTGAAATGCACATGCCGACGACATTATTGCGAAAAAAAAGGTACATGCTTTGTATCCTATAAAAGGAATGTGTATTTTATTTTTTATATCAATTAATTAATCCATTTATTTATTTATTTATTTATTTATTGCAAACACGATTGAAATTAACACTGATGAAAAAAACAAATCAAACATTTTAATTTCTCGATTTCAAATGCGCAAGGAGACCATAACTACTTATACCAACAAACTATCCTTCTAATGTTAAACTGCTTCAGAAATGCTCACATATGATTGACGCAATACATTGGCATCCATCCAAAAGGAACTGTTGCAAAATATTAATTTAAAATCAATATTTAAACTTGATTATTTTTTACATATAAATAGGTTAGTGGTGGTACCAGCTTCCCTGTCGGTACCACAAGAAGTTCCGATAATACCACCCTGGCCATCAAATCTACCCAGGAAGGCGGAACTTTCCTTTGTCATGCACAAAATGTGTATGGAAAGGCAACATCGCAAGCGTCGATATACGTCAAAACGGGTAATGCTTACACCAATTCAAAGCCATTTTAAATCAATCTATCCTTCACGCATTACTGTCAAATAAGAATAATATGATACCATTAGGTAAACAGAACTGTTTTTCCTACTCAAAATTGATAGAAAAGCACAGCATAAGATATATCTTCAAGGAGAATAAGACTTGGGCCCATCGTATTCATAAAACTGGTTTCATGCTCAAGCATAGATTTTGTGCTCGGGCCGAAATTCTTGTTCCCGTAATAATGAATTAAACACTCTTAGCATGTCATGTCAATGATGCAAACAAAACCATTGAGGAGAGTTAAAGCCGAACACCGTTTTCAATGTTTACATTTGACTTTTTGATAGTTTGAAATCATTTTAGCGAATTACAAGAAAGTTTGTTGGAGCACAGAATTCATGCTTGAGCATGAGAACGAACGGTTTCATAAATACAGGCTTCTGTGTTTCTTAAGGATAAAAGTCGTTAATCGAATTCTATAAATGAAGACTGGGTTGGAGTCAAAGACAAATGATATAGCCTAATAAGATCCTGGTGGGGACGATAAAATGTCCTCATAGTCTTATTTTACCTATTTAGCCCTTAGATTCCAATTTGGTTTTTCAATCAGCTGTCCGAATCTCTCATAGATTTACAGATTATCACACTGTATTGTCAGGGTTTAACGTGAGATTAATTTTCTCATCGCGAGCGCGTGGATAAAATCGAGAGGCCACCACATGTGGCCTTGAAATTTTAATTACGTGCGAACGATGAGTAAATTAATCTCACGATAAAGCGTGAGATGGTTAAAAAGATTATCGTAAAAATCTGTTAACATTCTTTTAAGAATATTAAAATGATTTTTTGGTGCAAATCTAAATCTTCATTAAATTAGGATTACGATAAAACTACGATTTCTTTTGCAAATGATTGGAAATAAAAGCAGCTTGCGGATATTTTGATGTACCATTTCAACAATGAAGATGTATCAGTATTTGTCTATGAGGGGATAAAAGCTTTTATCTGAATTGATTTGCAGTGGTGTTGTTTTGATAATTATATAGAGAAAATAAGGAAGCTTACGGTTCATGTTCGATAATAATCACATTTCTTTTTTTTTTGTATTCGAGTCTTTCAATATTAGTTGAAAAAAAAACGATGTCGTTTCGACTAAGCTGTAAGCGTATGTACAATTCGAACACATTTTACATATTTGTTTACATACACTTCATTGGTCATTTGTCTGATGAAGGTGACAGAGAACATACCATACTAGTCATCAAAACGTCACATAGAAATGCGTATCGGTTGTGTTACAAGAATCTTTTCATAAAAACAAGGAAGGTATTAAATGACTCAACCTCCTATTTTTAGTATTGCGTTTTGTACTCGTTAAAGAATAAATGAGTTTTTCTTACTCTCTGTCCAATTTTATGATATTAACCATATCCTCCTAAATTGACACAAATCAATTTGTTAAGAGTTTCATCTAAAAAACAGATAAACGTAAAGACGCATTATATATCACACAACATAAGCAGTACTCACGTCGAGCTTGACTTTAGTCGCAAACGGCCAGTTACAGATAGATTTATCTTCTTTTTACAGGGTCATTGATCGGTTGAGGAAGACCAAACACAAAGCCATATTTGGAGTGTATTATGATATGAAGTAAAATAAAATAAAATAATGTCATTTGGTATGCTTTGTTCTTTATGCCTCTTCATTGTATACTTTGCAGTGAAAAAACACTATCATATGCAATAAGCAATATTCTGCTTTTATAACAGTGGGTATTCAATTTATCAACAGTATGGCAACACTGAAGATAGTGAAAAAAGATAAATAGAAAAAAGTTACATCAAGATATGCCACGATAGCGAAACAGTAAAAAAAAACAAATATTATGCATATTCAAATGATTCATCAACATTAAGTTTTATATCATTATACATGCGATGATTGAATTTCCTATCATTTTTAAAATTTTAATAGCTGAAACTAATATGATGTTATTATGTCCCCTTTATCCATGTTGTTACGCCATTTCAATGGAACAGTTAGCTCGCCAGTAAGGGACTATTTTCCCGTCAAATGCTTTAGCTTTTAAACCATATCAATAGCAAAGCATCATGTTCCGGTTGCGTGAAACTTTTATTCTCAAATTTCAATTATCAGGAAAAGTACGTGCTCAGCTGAGAAGTTCTCAAATATTGGCCCATTCTTAGCTTAAAATCTTAGAATTAACAATGCTTTAGATAGCAAACACAGTTACGCACTGCTGACATTTAAGCTTGTACAAACGTACTCAAAGTTAAGATTTGAAAACGGAATGAAGAAGCGGGGCCATGTTCCATAATAATCAGATACATTTTGTAACTGGGGTGTGAAAGAAATAACACAGCAGAAAAAAGGCTACAATTTGCAAATAACATTAGACAATGGATTTTATTACATCAGTTCTGTAACAAATTATCATCGTCCAGCGTTAGGCAGGTAAGGATGTCCGCATATCGTTGTTACAAACATCAACCGGACCCCACTGGAAGAGCTGTAATGTACAAACACATGCACATAACAAGTGATCAGCTTGCATAGTCTCCTTAAAGCATCTGCTTACTTAAGATGTTCAACGAGTATATTGAGGACAGAAACAGATGTTGTTTCATAACTGCAAATACTGTTTTTGTATTAGATAATATAATTGAATAATAAAACTACAAAATATCCCGTTCTATCAGTGGGCAAGATAGGATACGATATGTGTGAGTGAATTCATTCACAAACTACAATTTGAAAATAACCAAAGTTGCGGCACATACAGTTCCACGGGGGACTGTCATCTTTGTAGTGAGTGGCTCAAGTTTATTGGAAGTGACCTCCTCTTATCACTGTAGAGGGGAACCAGGCGTCGCAAAACGTGTTAATATGTAAACTCATTGGTTTATGTTTCCCTGGTTACTGCCCTTTTAAGATTTCCTCTTTTATCTTTCCGTTTTTGAACCAAATTTGAGTCTGCTTTGGGATCATCTGTTTGACTATAGTTTGTTTTTACTACAGTTAACCTCATAACGAAATTAAAATGAAAATGAAAAACAAAATATTTGAAAAAGACAATGACATTTCTTCAACGAAAGATTTCAACCATGTATGTTAAATAATCTCTAAACATGCATGCATGTCATTATAAAATATGACGTATATAAGTTTTGTCTAAACTTTCTTACCGGACGATATCTTTGCTACAGCTGCAGATGTTCCTACTGAGTTTTTAGCTGTACAAGTCCAAGATCCAAGTACATCACGTGTGACACGGATCTGTACCCGTGTACCCCTTTGCATGATTTGGGCGGAGCTAGGAATGGCAGTTGACAAACCAGTATACTGTGTCATATACAAAGTACATTTCATGTTACGTCATAATACACATGACATATCTATCAATTATGGACTTTTTTTTCAAGTGGTTACATAGACCCCAGAAAAGTCAAATTAACCGACACGAAGGCGAGGTCAACTATCAATGTTCAAGTCCATACATATGTATTCATCGAAATTGAAGTTTTTAACAGATATCAAATCGTTGTGCATTTATCCTTAGAAAAGACGGAGCGTAAGCAAAAGGACAAGAAAAATATACTGCGTTTGGTTAAGGCGTTATAATTGAAGTGACGTCATACAGTGGATATTAACCTGATGTTTCGAAACACTAGGAACACCGAACAAACATCACACATTACCAATCTGTGCGTGAATATGATTCAACTCTTGAGTGTGTAGGGGAAAAAAATGTTGTTTTTTTATGATTGGAATAAAAAATAGCAAAAAAAAAAAAAAAAAGATGGTCGGATCATTTCTTTAGAGTTAAAGTTTTATTGACATCACCATTATAGTCTTTTTAAATAAAAAGTAAAATTTGTTGATTGAATAAAGAAAGAAAAATATACGACGGTAAAGTCAAATATATTGCAGGATATATATTACCGACTGGAAGGCCCATGTTATGGTAGCGTTAGACTTTGGGTCCACCTCGCAGTGCAGAGTAACAATATCGCCGTCTAGAACTTTCCTGTCGTTCGGTTTACGAGTAAAGGATGGTATCACTAATGAGAATATAAATGATGAATAAATTACAACGTTACACAGCAAGTCCTGTAAAACGCATGTTAATTAATAGCCTTACTCAAGTCACCTTTATATATTTGTTAATGACATTGAATGTTAATCAAGAGCATTGATAATGGAGCAATTTCCGTAAAACGCATGTTAAGTAATAGCCTTACTCAAGTCACCTTTATATATTTGTTAATGACATTGGAAGTTAATCAAGAGCATTGATAAGGGAGCAATTTCCGGAAAATACATGTTAAGTAATAGCCTTACTCAAGTCACCTTTATATATTTGTTAATGGCATTCGAAGTTAATCAAAAGCTTAGTTAGGTGAAAAACAACGTTACAACGGCTTGGTGCATTATTTTGCAATATTAAAACGTTCGTCTCATCAGAATCATGTTTTTAACATTATTTCGATAGTGTCGACATTGTTTAAACTTAGATTGGTCTTGAAAACTGTCCCTTTCGTATTTTTGCAACGACCACGTAAATGTGTATGTAGGCAAGATTAACAGCATGCATTGTATATGACACGAGGTATATTTAGTTTAATCTTTCGATAAAGGTTTGAATGATGCAATGAGCAGAAGCCCAGTGATCTGATTAGGGTCAAACTGGATAACCGTTTATATAACATTATTACAGACAGTTCATATAAAAAAATGTCAGATCCCGATTAAAAATGTATATGATACAATTTGTTCAAAACTGCTGTCCTGAATTCGTTTCTATTTTATATACTCTATACACGAACACTTTCCCCCTGTCAAACATTCCCTAGTTTACGATGAAATAAATATTCGCCAAGTGGTTATTTTGTACTCCACGTGGACTTAGTATATACTGAATGTTAAGTAGTAAATTTTGTTCTCATGATACATGATTGGGAGGGCGAGGGAAGGCTAAGCTGAGCTACGGTGAAAACTTCAATAGTAATACTTATGATTGTAAAGGGATTGAACGGCGTTTTTTTCTAAATGTTCATGCCGGTATGAACGCAAATCGGTTACATACATATTGCATGTAGACCCCCAGTGCTTCATGTGTAATAATGATGTAACCGATTTGCGTTCATATCGGCTGAACATTTGAAAAACGCCGTTCAATCCATCCATTTACATGTTTACTATAGAACAATTGTTAAATCCTATTTTGTTGTTCTTAAATACTTAATTTATTTACTGCGTGTTGGTTATAAGTCGTCCTTTAAACGATATTGGCGGAACAGCCTCATTTTGAATTAAATTGGCGCCAATAATTAACCGTAGTCATTTGAGCGTTTGCCGGAGAGGCATTTTCCATGTCATTAGAAGCGAAGCGACATGACTCTCATTGTACAAGGTTAATCTATGACGTCATAAGTAAACCAAGTGTGACGTCAGGAAGGTTTTAGTTTTCATACTCAAATAAAATACATTTCTGCTGATAATGCTCATATATACAATACTACTTACAAAATAAAGCAATGAAGATTAAATGGTTTGATTTGTTAAAAAAATGCGTTAGATTCGATTATACAGTAAAGTATAAAACAATCAGAGTTTACTAAGCGGAAGAATGGAGATATGTAAATGTTTATTTAAATAACAATAAATGTTACCCAGTTGTGGTATCCCACACAGAGCCATGTTGCAGAAACTTGCATTACAACAACGAGTACAATAGGTACCCTCGTCCGTCGATAAAGCATTTTCCTCGAAAACGTCACAAACCTGACAGAATAAAAAGGAATATCAATATTAACCTGTTATGTTTTATGATTTTTAGATAAAAATATAATTCATATGTTTGATCTGTGACGTATAACCAATTTGTTTTTTCAACACTAAACTGACCAATCAGATATTAAATATCAATGTGAAAATGCATACATTGTACAATGGGCATTGTCTATTGTGTTGTCAATGATGTTCCTATGTTCATGTCATATGACATCAAAATAAAGATGTCTCCACATTTTGGCTCGAATTATATTTCCAATGGCTTAAAGTTGATTAACATAATGTTACTGTGTTCAGCTCACCTGCCCAGAAGGGCCATGTGAACTTATGCTGTACTGCGGCGTTCGTCGTCCGTCCGTCAACTTTTTCTTTTGAACGACTTCTTCTGAAGAACTGGACGACCTATTGTCATGCTATTTGGCCTGTAGGTACCTGGGATGAAGTGTCATTAAGTTTCCACGTTTAAATGACAATGACATTGACATACTTTCAAGGTCACAGGGGTCAAATATGTTAAAAAAAATCAAACAACAATATCCCAAGAACCATTTGGACTAGAGTCAAGATACTTGGGCATGTTATGCAGACAGGATGTGCAAATATTTTTCTTTTTACAGTAATGAGGTCAAATATCAACTTTAAGTGATAGGCAGGGGTCAAATGTCAACATTGGTTAAAAGCTTTCAAATTTAAAATTCAAGTTCAAACAATAATATCTTAAAAAAAACTTTTAAGAGATGTTAAAATATCTTGTGTTCTAATTACCAAATTTGGTCTGAAGTTACCTATATGCCAGTTTAACGTATCAAAAGAAACAGGTAAGCGAAACAGGCCCATTAGTTTATTAACAGTATTGACATTTTACTTCAAGGTTGAGTATAAGCATTCGTTAAATTATCACAGTATTAATTCCTTTCATGAAATATAGCTGTTATTGGACACTTTAAACAATAAACAATAATAAAATAATAATAGTATTAATTTATCCAATTAAGTTGGCCAATAACGAGACCAGTAACACCATGTGAAGATTTATTTTTTTCTAAATGCCAGCCTATACATTCGTGCATTTTTATGTTCATACATATGTATATGAATAATAAAAATTACCCCATGCTGTTATTTCATGAAGGAGGGGTTCAAACCTTTTCCTATTAAACAAACATATGCAAGAGTCTTGACACACAATTTACATATATCAATATTGGTATAGTCTTATTGATAATACATAAGTTATCGTATTATTACATATACATTGTATAAAATATATATTAAATAAAGTATATTGGTTTTATACTCTGTTGGATTATAATTATATTGCCGTAAAATATCTGAAGCTAAGTAAAATTAGGGTACACGTGGTCAGGTTTTATAACAACATGTCATAGGGTTAAAATTAGGGTGTAATTATGTTATGTAAGTTTCTGAAATAAAATATAATATTAATTTGCACGTAATGTATAAACATTAAATACTTTATGGTATTAATATATGTGGATATGGGTAAACATTTACACTAGTCCGTATATGTACACTTAGACATTGTATTTTTATTTCAGGGAACTGTTTCCGTTCACGGTGTGAATGTTTAATAAACTGTCATCTTTGTGTACATATGTCTTTGGATTAATGTATATTCGCACAAGAAGAAACCCACACATATTCCGTCTTTGCGTATTGCAGGGTTATCTTCTCTTGGGAGCAGGTATTGATTGTTAAGTCATTGGTTTGTGTGAGAAAATAACGTCGTTTTTTTAAAAAAATGATGACGTTACTCTCACAAACAAGTGACGTAACAATCAATACCGGCTCACAAGAGAAGATAACTGTGCAATTATCAAAGACGGAATACTCGGGTGACATAAACAGTTATATATACTATAGCCTTATTTATCCTTACCCGTTTCTGTTCGCATCCCATGCTAAACCGTTTCTCGCCATTACTGTCCAATTCTATTTTTCTGGTGTAGCAAATCTATATATTAACAAAATAAGACAATCACCGAAAAGCAAATTAGTGAAAATAATCATACCTAACATTAATCAATTAATTACTAATTACAAATAATTAATAACATATAACTTACCCCTTAATAAATAAATGCACTTATTTAAATGGGAAAAAACAATGGCAGACATTCTGAATATAAAGACAAATGATATCATTGTTAAGTATATTTTCTGCTTTCATACGTTATCAAACATTTAACAAAAAAGGTGTCATACCAGTGTTAGGCAAGATATGTCAATTCAAATTTTGCAATTTTGGTAAGAAAGTATTGGCATACAAACTGCATGGAAAAAACCAATAAAAAATGAGTAATTGTTATATAATCCTATGGTTTTTGTATTATATATTGTTTATTAAATCATATTTTATCAACTTCGGGGTCGGGTGGGGCAGTTCATAACGCACTAGCCTTTCATCAAGGAGGCTAGGGTTCGATACCCTGATCGGACGTGAAAAGGTATAAGGTATCCCCCGACCACGTGGGTTTTCTCCGGGTACTTTGATATCTTAATACATAAAAGACCCCATGTTCTAACATCGGGGCCAACAAGTCTGATAAGGATAAGTTAAAATAAGTTGTTTCATAAATGTTGTTAAATCAAATAAAATTGGTATTTTTATACAAACTAAACATTAATTGTATTGATTAAAATCTCAACTAATTATCTTCGTAGAAAAATGTCCATACAGGTCATAAGTAATCATTCGACATGTTATATAATCCTTTTCGAACTCAAACGTGCGAAAAATCAACAAGAATTTAAAAGACAATAAAACTAAAATGAACAACGTTATAAATTCCAATTAAAAACACAAGTAAGAGTAGGTATACAAAAGGATACATGTCAATGTTTCATGCTACTGATATACCACCCGTCATACACCGTTCCGTTCTCACCCTGGGTAGTCATACGTCTTACCCTATCGCTGAAGCATTCCTTCAACTCCGAGCACTGGTTCGGGTGATACACGTCATCACAATGAAAACACTTCGTACCATGATCGTTGTCTAGTAAAGTAAAAAATAACTCTTCAATTTGATAAATTTAACTTTTGACAAAATGTTCTTACAATAAAATAAAAGCGTGTGCCCGTATGCATTAAACTCAGAAACCCATTAAAGTAAAACAACAACTCCGGTAGGTCGTGACGTCTTGCCTTTGTGATGGTGTTTTAATCCCTTTAATCCCTAGTAACGGATTAAATCCCTTTAGTCGATTTTGTTTGTACCAATATCGTATACAATGCAGCACAGTCCGGGTAAAGTTGGGCTTTTTAGTTTAAGATTAAGAAATTAAGTTAAAATACATCTTAACCATGTCATTATTGTGAAATTCTAGTTTTTGTTTTTGGTGTTTTCAAACAAGCATTACAATAAGCACATGTATTTTACAGAATGAAATTTGATGTTTGAACATAGAAAACAAATATGCGACAACAATGTCGCAAACCAGAAATAAACACTGAAAATTATCAAATTGTGTGTCCAATTTATTTGCCGTAAAGTCGTTGAAATAGTTGACAGGTAAAGTTACTCTCAGACAAAACAATTCTTTTTGGTTTCTTCATTGTCTATATGGAAAAGGAGAAAACTCCCAGTTAACTTAACAAAATCTAAACAAAAACTCTTCCTCGCAATAATAACTAATTCACTGGTACCCTATACTAGTATACCGTATAGTATTTGTTCTCAATTTTTAATAGGCTAATAAGAACAATCTGTCAATTATATGTTCATCATCATTCTCATGTTCTTGATTATTACAAATGTAATCATATGTTGAGCCGAAGACACAAATTGACCAGTTGGTAGGAGGACCCACAACAACTGAAATGTGTTTGGCACTTTGCTGTAGACAAGTTCCTTTTATAAATATTTTGATAATATTCCTCTGTAACCTGTATTTTAGTTCATCGACTCGACAGCTACTTTTTAATGCACACGACTTTAGTGTTTGTTCTGTAAATTTGTATCCTTCTGCTATATTAGCATTGTATGTATATTTCACTATGATAGTGCTTTAACCGTATCCTTTGGTAACGTTTGTATGACATGCAAGCGTCCATTAACAACTCATGTTTTAGGATAACTAAATTTTAAATCATGTTATACTATATAGTAGTTATTATCTAGATATGACATGGTTAGTTATGACTGTGATATTCTTTACAATTATACTTATCTTACAGATTTTGTGTTGTTTTATAACTGTTTTAACTTTATTGTAAATAGTGCACATTGTATCATGATTGACCATATGTATGGCATGATGTTAAATTACAGCTGGTTAACAAAACAGGGGTAATACCATTTTAAAGAACAATTTAAACATTGATTCACGCGACAAGGACTATATAAGCTTTAAAAAAGAAATCCACAAGTGTTATTATCTTTTGATAAGATAATGAAAAATGTTTTCTTTCTATTTTTCTTTGTATGAAGAAAAACACCAAATCTTCATTTGAAATAACATTTCAAAAAGATAAGCTATATTATTATTCTTCATACATTTTAGCGCGTGTCTGTTTGCTTTACACACATCACATGACAGGATTGTAAAACTTCGAGTCTCCCATGCGCGATCCATTTTAGCCTGTAGAGTACCCCTCTCGGAACCCCTCACACACTATCGAACGAGTTGTCTCTCTTTGTTGGACTCTCTAACGCCCAATTTGCGCAGGGCGACACCACAAACGTCAACAATGGCTAGGAACGGGAGATGTCACCTCCCAACAGCTGAAGAACTTGAATGGCTATTATTGTTGTTTAATTTGATTAAAAATCAAACACACTGACAGTGATAAGTATTTGAAGCATATATATGAAACCAAGTCTAATGCAATAAGGAAGAACAAGTCAGTCATAGCAGTGACAACACAGGGGCTCTATACATTGTCTAATGCTAATTTGTTTTTGTTATATGTATATAATACAGACTCCATATATGGAATTTCGGAATAATAAAACACTTATTGACCTGGTGTGAGGGAGACCTGAAGAGTTGTTCCCCCTCGATAATATTTTTTTTCTCGGGGAAATAACTCTTAAGGTCTCCCTAACACCAGGGCAATAAATATATCTTATATCTTATCATTGATAATATTTAATTATATAATAATATATACCATATTTTACAAACCCAAAATAAAGATTTTTTGTCATAAAATTGTTATCAATATCACTAGTGTTAAATACAAAATAGAATTTACAAGATTAACAAGATTCTAGCTACCAAATTATTATTTCTATTTTTATTACTGTATGTTTTGTAAATTTCAACCTTTTGCCCTTCACCGGAATAATCAATGTTTGCTCAGGATTAATTTTGCAAATCACATAATCATTACTATGCATATTACCTTGTTTACTAACATTCGCTGTGTTGATAAATTTGCCCTCATTACAGCGGACGAAAAAGGCGAAAATATACAGCATTTATCTAAGTCAGTTATGATTTATTTCACACAGATTCACTTTTTTAACTCAGGCATAAATATATCTAAGTATAAACCGACGCCTCTTTTTGAGATTATACAATGGACATGCTACTCACTTGTGTTACACAGATCTGCATTACAGCCACATGCTGTGGTATTCTTTTCTGTACATCCCATGGCTTCCGAATCACAACATTTTAAACAGTTAACTAACTCTCGCTTCCTCCTTCCTGCTCCTCCGAAGTTAATGTTAATTACACTACATACCTGCAAGACAAAGTTTAATTGCATTCTTGAAGATACCTTTCTACAATTTTGTTTCATTTTGAAACGATACAAATGTATCGAGCTTTGTTAGGTTGAAAACATGTTAAACAAGATTTTCGATTCGATTTCATATGTAAAATGTATAGCATAACGCCGGAATACATTGTAATAATACTGCAAACGTATATAAGTGTTTCCTTGTTCCCTTTGATAAACCCCTCTGCTATCTATCTTCCTAGATATATTGTGTAACCTATGTGAATGCATATCACAGGAAACATAACACAAAAGATAGTAACTGTCACCCTTTGTCCAAGTTTTCGGCGTTTATAAAGCCAAACTGCTGCTTGAAAAAGTTATGGCGTTAAACAAGGGTTTAATTAGGACATTTCTTCCTGTATATTGAATTAGGCTGATCATATTGATTCACATGAGAGGTTTGTATTGTTTCAAAAATAAAAATAAAAATATAAAAAAATAAACGATTTCAATGGTGGCATAATACTAAAAGGAAAATCTGATTTTCATTTTGACACCATCTTTCTCTTAGACATAATGAAGGCTATTGTCTTAAATTGACGTCACAACTACCTTCGCTCTTTTTAAAGGTTTGTAAACTATGGATTCCATACACGTCTGGTGACTTTTTACTGCACTAATTGGCTCTGCTGTTCACAAACATTGTATGTTAGGAATGTGTTTAACTTTGAAATAATGCCCCGTAGCCGCCCCTTTCACCTTCCTTGTTATCTACGTTTCCCTAAGACCCCACTATTATTTAGTTTCTTTATAAGTCACCATAGTTAAATATCCAAACAACTTTAATACTATGTAATTCAAAAACTTCAACTTAGTTTTCTACATGTCATTTGCCAATTTGAGTACCGAAAGAATATTGCAAAGACGATTTGTCTTTTTTAAATGTCTCAGGATGTCTGTCGCCAGTACGTTCGTGTGCAACTTACTGTTTTGGCCATGCATCCCGACTCAAACATCAAATTACCCGACGGTCCTGTGTACCTCTTTGTATAGCAACTCTGTAATTAAGTTATAAGCATAATGAATTCCCATGTTTCCTTTAAAAGTTAAATATACAATATTATCAAAACGTCAACACACAAGTAAGGAACCTGTCCAAGGGGAACTAACCTCGATAAGCTAAACATATCATATCATGGCATAGAGTCAACACACAGACAAAGGTTTGTCTTAACACTATGACAATACTTCGCAGCGGAGTTAAAAAGCAAGGGAAACATAAAGGAATCATCAACACAAATGGATTAAAAAAGAGTAAACACACCAAGACAAAATTGAGTCACAACTCTAGGACGAAACATTCCACAAAGGAGTCAAGAGGTAAGGACAATAAGCAACATAACATCACAGTTGAGTCAACACACAAGGACAAATCATACATAAGGGGAGGTAACACGCAAGGAAAACAAAAGGAAATATCAACAAACATGGATTAAATATATCAATAAAGAGTAAACACACCAAGACAAAATTGAGTCAACACTCTAGGACGAAACATTCAAAAGAGGAGTCAACAAGCAAAAACAAAAAAACATCACAGCATCACAGTTGAGTCAACATACAAGGACAGAACGTACATAAGGGGAGTTACATTTGTAACACGCAATGACAAAATAAAAGAAGTAGCAACAAACATGGATTAAATATATCAAAAAAGAGTAAACACACCAAGACAAAACTGAGTGAACACTCATGTTTAGTGCTTTAAAGCAGTACTCGTGTTAATCGACACAACTATAGTACATCAAGCCGGGTGAACTAAGCTGTGTGAGTTTTATATACTATTACGTTGAAGTATACATTTGATGATAAGTAATGCGAATTAATTTACAGTTTATACGTATACCTCGTGAGGACCACATATAATAGTTTCACCGCAGTCCGATTGGGATGGCACTCCGTTGCACTTGTAGCAAAGCTGAGTGCACTCAGCAACTGTAAATTGATAAAGGCAATATACAACAGCATCATAAACTAGTCGTTGGTTATACTACAGTTTCAGCGCAAAATCATATACCGTAGTATCAGCACACAACAACAAAATAACGCACAGAGTCAACACAAATGACATGTAATGTAAACATGAAACGAAAACGATAAAGAGAACCCAACACAGATGTATAATATAGCATCATGGCGCCTCATTTTTGCACAAGACTTTTTTAAGGGAAAAACAAGTAAGAAAAATATCATAAAAGTAAATAAAACGATACATTATAGCAAAGCAAATACGGCAATATCGTTTGTTTTACACAATATACCAAAATGTTTCAGAGGTATTTTAAGACATATCTCATAACTCAAATAGCAAATGTCTGCAATTTAAGCCAAAGTCAAAAATACAGACACCTTTTACCTTTCAACCTCTATTATAATATTGCTTTTGCCAAATCTATCTCAAAACAAGTTTATTAAATAGAAAAGCATTGTAATATAGTATAGTGAGACATGAGAAATTTACTTCTTAAACAAAAATATTGTTGGAATCATCAGGTAGTTAACCAAACAGGTAAAAACTGAAGTTACAAAAAAGAAAATACTTGCCTGAACACAGGACAGCCAATACCACGAGAGTTCTCATTTTGTAGACTCAACCTACATATCAGTCACAACAAGCTTACATTAGCACGGGAAGTGAATCTTTGTTATAAGAGATCGGTTAATACGATAATAATTTGAAGGTTGATAAATCGTTTCATCGACCACAGAGCATGTTAATACTTGTTTTATTATATAATTTTCAACAAACAAACACACATGCAAAGACAATGTCTGCACTCAGTGAGCAGTATGAATATTTATGTTGGGAGAATAAACCTCTAAATGTTCCTTTTTTACGCAGGTTATCAGTTATCCCTAATTTTGTCGAAGGAGTTTTTGATTTCTCAACAACTTATTTTAAACGTTTTATGGCTAAAGATAAATCAACTTAACTTAAATGTCTTATATATTTGAATTCGAATTATGAAAAACTCAAAGTATTTTTTTTTATTTCGAATATTTTTGTAACTAGGATATCTTCAATAAACTAGATAGTATTGATCTCGAAGTCTGATTATTGTTTAACACGGATCGACAAACGTAAGATCCACATGTCCCCATTAATGTTGTCATAGCAAATTTATTGTCTAAATTATCGATAAAAGTAATTAAAACGTTAACGATTTAGGCATAATACATATCCACAATGCACCCATCTACTCTATGAATATCAAAACCAGATCATCGATATCATCTTTGTATGACGTCATAATTGCTACGTTGGACTCTCCCCGAAGAAATGGCTGTTCTATTCAATGAACAAGCACAAGTAATGATCAGTTCATTAATTGACCTGAAGAACGTGTAAAAGTTGTGTTTAACAAATCATGATCAATTTTTGAAAGCAAACACGAATCTAAAAAATGTTTCAACAAATTTAACACCTATTGTTTATATATTTTTTTTTAAATGACCATTTTAACATGTTTATTGCTTTCGCTAGCAAGACGTTTTTGCAGTTAAAGTTGCTTAGGTGCAATATGTTGGAATATTACATGATCGTAAAGACAATATGAGCCCAAGGAAATATCCTTGCAGTCACCCGTCTGCAACGCTAAAAGAAGCAGCCGGTTTCTACTAGGTGTATTGTAGGTATAAATTAGTAAATATTTACCTACTTGTACGACTGGATTTGCTGCTTTTTAGATTAATAAAATCTATTACCTGTAACTGAGCGAGATCTGGTAATATCGCACCTCAAACAGAGATACCCACGTCATACCCCATGCTAGATTTTTCTATCTCGTCCGATCTGCCTTGCACCTTTACGTGACATTTCGCGGAATTTTTACAGTGCAATGTAATCTTCGCGCGTTAACTGTTTGAAATTGACAATATGCATTATAAATGTTCTGTTTAGTCGTTATATGTATAGTTTTGAAGTTTAGATATCTGATGTTGTAGATAAAATATAATCTACACTGTGAAATACGTTGTCATCTATGTAAGAACGGAGTACATTTTTACGCGGAAGCATTCAAATGTAGCTTAAGTAGTGAAAAGGTCATTATCATTTGAGGCCCCAAACGGTATACTTAAAGTTTTTAGCAAAATATGTTGTTTTTCGAACTAAATGGTGCGAGAATAAAACATCAATTACCTGTAACTGAGCAAAATCTGGTTGTTTCAGTCTCGGGCTAAGATTCTGTAACACCCGACCTCGGCTTTCGCCTCGGTTGGGATTTTGTTACAGAATCTTAACCCCCGACTGAGATAACCCGATCTCGCTCAGTTACAGGGAATAGATTTTATTAATCTCAGTCTCGGGATAAGATTCTATAACATTCTAACCTCGGCTTACACCTCGGTTGGGATCTTGTTACAGAATCTTAACCCTCGACTGAGATAACACGATCTTGCTCTGTTACTGGTAACTGATATTTTTCTTGCACCTTTTTGTTCGAAAAAAATGTCAATTTTGCTAACAACTGCAAGTATCCCGCCTTGGGCCTCAGATGATAATGACCTTTTGACTACTTCATCGACATTTGAATGCTTCCGCGAAAAAAATACAGTCCGTCCTTACATAGATTACAACGTATTTTACAGTGTAGATTATATTTTATCTACAACATCAAATATCTAACAACATCAAAACTATACATATAACGACTAAACAGAACATTTGTAATGCAAATTGTCAATTTCAAGCAATTAACACGCGGGTGAATACATTGCAGTGTACATATTGAGCGAAATGTCACGTAAAGGTAAAAGACAGCTCGAACGAGATGAAAAAAATCGTTGGATAACTCTGTCTGAGGTGCGAGAATAATACAATATCTCACCCCCTTGGGGCTGAAATAGGAGAATCTAAACTCGAGTGAGAAGACTCTTGAGTTGTCATACACGAGGCTTTGATATATCTCTATCTTTCCCTCAAGGGGGTGAATTATTATTTTTCTGTTACCATGTTCACCCATTGTGTTACCTATGCTTAATGTAATGTTAACGTTGATGGATTGTTGACGCGACGTCATTTTATTGTTAATGTGACGTCATTCCATTGTTATGAATAGGGGAACTTCATCGTATCAACCCTAGGGTGAAATAAGGATATATTATACCGGTAGAATTGTGGATACAGCTGTCCAGGGTCAGATGATATTGTATAATATAAACTATGGTTTATGTAGTCTATCACTGAAGGACCTTATATATTGAAAGCATCACAGATGCTTCTGTTGTGTATGCATATGTATAATTATTCCAACGAAGATGATACAGTTTTTGCTGCTAAGGTGATTGATATAATCTTACCCCAACTTGAGGGAAATTTCCAACCGTAGGGGTGATGTTTTTGGTTGTCTAACCCGAGTGTTAGACAACCAAAAAAATATCACCCCGAGGGTTGGACATTTCTTTGTTACAACCTCCAGGTAGAGAATGATTATTTTTCTCCCATCTTATTATTTCAGTCACAACTCCACCGACAGTAGTATGTTTGTTAACAAAAACACATGTGGTATATGAATATCGTCATTCACATTTGATGACGTTACAATTACCGGTGACACATTTTAATGACAATTTCATTGACTAAAGATACACCTGTGAAGAGTGGGACAAAGTTTGGTACATCATACAGAGACACTGTAGTGGATTGGAATTATCAGAAGACTATAAGGCAATCAATCACGGGTATCAAGTGTATATGTTTGAGTTAAAATTGTATATACACAAACATCCAACCTTAATTCCGACAGGATTTGACTGAACATAAACGTTACAAGTGACTGTGTCATTTGTATGCAACAACACAGTGCAAATGTGCATTTTGTTTACTACGAATAAGTCAAACTGAGGTATACAGGAAGGTTTCTGAAAAATACAACTCCAATTTGGAACCCAAAAAGCACAAATATTCTAAATATTATTATCAAAATATTTCGTATAAGTAGATACAATTAGAGCAAATTTGGCGAAAGCCCCAAAACGACCTTATAGCATCAACCAAATACATATTAGGTCAAATTCGTTTGGTTGACAGACATTTACACACCAAAATTTCATGTTCTTTGGACTCTTATGTTTTCTCATGTTCTCCTCTTTAAAATAAGGCATTGCTAAAACAAATAGCTAGTACAACATTTTGAATTTTCAGGAGAACATTTCCTAAATACTAAATACCGATAAGTTTCTTTTTCGATGAAATAATCAGAATCTGGAATTTGTTTCATTCTAAAAATCCCATTTTATAACCTGTATTTCTATGATAAAATAAGACCGTTAAAACTGCTGGTGCTACCACCTCCTTTAAATTTGTGAGAGATAACTCATACTGTAGGGATTTCTGAACCGAATCTCTATGAAGAAACCCACTGTGTTAAGGGACCACTTCTTGGACTTCACCGGGAATGTCTCTCAATAGAGGTTTGGTTATAATAATCGCTTTAACATAAACATATATCTGCATTCATCATCGGTGTTATATAAAGTTAATTTCATAATCTCTTCTGAATAAAATGCTCAACCGCTTCTGATATAACTTGTTGTAAACAAAAGATTAATGTCATATAACGTATGTAAAAATGTATCATACTATAAATCTATATAAACAAATTTTGTGCTTATATTAAAATATTACATCAATGTATATATAAAATATGTTTGATAGTATATTCATTTTAATAAAAAAGAAATGTGTATCAAATGTTATTTAACAAAATTCATATCAATATCATACCTTTATGAAATGTGTTCAATTACCTGTTTATCACAATAATACAAATGCTCTGCATTTTTTTCTGTATGATACATAATCGACCTTCTTCCGTTTAAAGACAAGACTAATAATTATAGCATCAATTTTTCATTAACAACTTGCACGAGAAAAAAAAACCCATACAAACATGATCTCTTTGTTATTCCCATATTAACGCGGAATGTCGATTTCAAAAGCAAAATATGAGAACATTGCCTGTATGCTTTTAAGAAGGCAAATATTTAAAGTCGTATTAATCGTAGTTTATTTTTAGATCGATTGAAATGATTTATTTACTTAGTATAAATTATTTTAATTAGGTATATGTTAATTATCATATTCAAATTTCCAACTTATTAACTACGCAATATTTATATAACATATGTATCGTTTTTATGTATTAAAATTGTGGACGAATGTCACAGAAGAAGCGTGTTATGATAATGATAGGCTTAAAGTGCAAGTTAATGTTAACTATCATATATAAATTTCAAACTTATTAACTACGCAATATAAATATAACATGTTTACCCTTTTTATGTATTAAAGTTGTGGACGAATGTCACAGAAGAAGCGTGTTATGATAATGATAGGCTTAAAGTGCAAGTATCGATAAATGTATACTATAATGTTTCTTACATGGAAATGTCAAATTCCCTTGTCATTTGCAGCGTTCAGTAGTGAATGGAATATCCAAGGTACGATTCCATGCATTGCAATGTGAGTACTAACACGTAGTGAACCATAGAAGATGTATGAGTAACGATGTGAATTATTTTTATGCCATAATACATACCAGTGGTAGGCAAAAACTCTGTCCTTTCTTTGTTAACCGTCAAGGTCAATGAATGCGACTGAATGTCGTGACTTAAGCAGTCCTTATCTCTACGTGAGGCGTATGTCAGTGCGTGTGTGAAATCTTACACAAGCCGCTGCTCTGACGTATATAACTTCTCACGTATATCTTTCTATGTGTGCTCTCTCTCTCTCTCTCTCTCTCTCTCTCTCTCTCTCTCTCTATCTCTCGCTCTCGCATAAATGTCAGTTAGTACTTTATGTGATAGCAATGGATTAAATGAGTGTTACCTTGTGTTGTATTCTAGCACATCAGTTTCTCAATACATACGATATTTTTTTTATTACCGTCCTGATTTTGTCGTGAGTTATTTCCGGGTCATGTTATCGTATCACGTGCGCTTCCGGTTACGTCAAAAGATGCAAATTTTCAATACATGATGTCACAAAATCTTGATATTTATTAATTAAAGATTGTTTTAAGAATAAACGAGTTAACAAAACAATATAAATACATTGTGATTATTATTTTCTTGAACGTTTGCGAAGCAGACGACATTTGCTCATAATCTCGAAACTAGAACATTTTTTCCCAAAAAATGTGTTTTAACATTTGAAAGTTTGACGGGGGAAAAATCAATTTTGTTTTTTATGAATTAATGAAAGTGATACAGAAAAGAAATAAAATAAACAATTGATATTAGATTTATCAAAAACATCATCATTAGAGAGTATGTTCTGGGCATGATCGTTTAGAAGCTTTGCAATACTGACTCTTTCAAACGCGCACCAGCTCGGGATTAGGTCCTATTTACAAAACAGCGACTGGAAGTAGCAAGGCGGATTAGATTGGAATTTCAATTGTGTTGATTTCGGCAAGTAAACCTTGTACAAAAAGCCCGCGTGGTCAGATCATCTAATTTAGTCAACATGTACACAGATCAGTCGTTGTTTTGTCGCTACGGTCATTAACATAACAAATAGAATTATTATATAAGGAGGCAGTACCCAAATCGGATCAGTACCCAAATCTGATCACTTTTTGCAAAAATAATAAATCAATGTGTCAACAAATCTTAGAATAGATAGTCATGCACCATTTTTTGTCTACAAATGATTAGTTTTCATGTTCAAATGCATAAGCAAACTTGATTCAAACTCAAATGTCAGTGTTTTGATCACGTTTTAAAAAATGGCGCGTGCGACGACTATGCATGCTATTTTGGACTATAGGAATGCATTCACACTATAGAAATACATTTTGTCATATAAATTCTAAAGGTCATCACAAAATGTTAATATGCTGACAAAAAAATATTCATTTGAAGCGTAAGCTACTGCAAAACTCAAGCCTTGATCCGATTTCGGTCCTGTTTATATTTGATAAATATATATAAATCTTTACACTCATGATTATTAGATAGGTAATAGATAGATATTAGATAGGTGAGTATCTCTGTTGAAACTCCCTCTTCAATTATTATGCATAATGATATCAGTATCACACATTATATTATAAATTGCTAACGTTAATTCATGTCATTTGAGTCATTCATTATGAATTAAAGAGCGAATGAGATAATACAGACAGCTGTATACATGTGTATGAATACAGTTAACTTTCCAGTAAACAGTATAGATATAAGTTACACTGTTTATGTTGTCATATTTATCATATTTTATAAATGTAAGTATATCTTTACGCACATAATTATTAAATAGGTATTAGCTAGGTATGTATCTCTGTTGACACTCCCTCTTCCATTATTTTATATATTATAGTAAACGGTGTAGATATAAGTTACACTGTTTATGTTGTCATATTTATAATATTTGATAAATGTAAGTATATCTTTACACACATGATTATTTGATAGGCATTAATTGGTTACTCCCTCCTCCATTATTATATATAATAATACAGACAGCTGTATACATGTGTATGTTCTAGTAAACATTGTAGATATAAGTTACACTGTTTATGTTGTGCTATTTATAATATTTGATAACATAAGTATATCTGTACACACATGATTATTAGATAGGTATAAGCTAGGTATGTATCTCTGTTGAAACTCCCTCTTCAATTAATATACATAATGATATCAGTATCACAAGTTGCTAATCATGTAATTACTAGTCATTCTTTATGAATTAAAGAGTGAATGAGATAATACAGACAGCTGTATTCATGTGTATGTATATAGTTAACTTTCCAGTAAACTGTGTAGATATATGTTACAATGTTTATGTAGTCATATTTTAAGAAAACCACGAAATATAATCCCAACGAAGTTTTAAGCACACGAAATATAAACTTAACCAAAATATGAAATTAACTATTACTTTCATTACAAACCATGCTGTATTTACATTTAGACAGAAGTCATGATAAACGGTGTAATAATCGTCACAGGTTTGTAACCCGGTTACATCGCTCTGTGTATGTAAACTATAGAGCATGACGGATTTGACGGATTTGACCGATACCTATCGAGTGAGTCTATCTCGCCCGGTCTTGCCTGTACCTCGCAAGCCTTGCGGTGAAATCAACTTGTATAGAAACAAAATTTAAAAAACACTAAAGTTTCCCTTTTAAAAAATAATAAAATATTCTATTCAACGAAAAGGGTGTATAGTGTAAATAAATCAGTCGTCGTCAGATGTTTACGACAATAAAGTTAACTTTTGATCGATTTCCGGCACCATGTTGTCTGGACGGCATGCCCCGATTTTGGAACTTTTTTAACGGATACAAGGGAAAACAAACTTCTAATGCAATAGACAAACTATTGCTTAAATGATTTAAACACACGTCTTCCTTCTGGAGTAATATTTACATTAAAACGGCATGATTTTCTCACACGTTGTGTCAAGGTAACCGTGAATATTTATTAAATGCATACTCGTTTTCTCATCATAATTTGTGTTATAAAATATCGGTAGGCCTAATTATTTCCATTGTATATAACTATTAACTACCACACATGTTTGTTTAGACTCAATTATATGTCCATCGAGCGATGGTCGATCTATTGTTTTCCACTGACCGGGGTTAAGCGAGGTGTGAAAATTACACCTGGAGTGGACAGGTAATCACCTCGGGCGATGTACGGTTAGCCGGACATATTGTCTTAGCTAGGTGTCAAACAGAAAAAAATACTTGGTTCGAAAATATTGAGTCCATGAAATATAAATCCCACAAATTTGTCCCAAAACAAAAACAACGAAATTTTACCCCAACGAGAATAGATGCTTTTACAATAAGAACCTCGAATTATTATTATTTGAAATTGAGCAGCAGTCCTCTTAATTTTTAAATTCGTACAACTCAAGGTTTTTATACACATCTCCTTCTGTTTAAACATCAGTTTAGACAAACTGTGATTTCCATAATTTGTTGGGCCCCTGGCATCCCCAACGAGTCCAAGACGGATGAAACGGTTGTTTGGTGCAGTGTAAATCATGTTAAGAAATCTGTATCTGTTACCAAATGTCATTGGTACAATCAAATGTGTCTTACGTTCCTCTTACAAACAACATTCTATGAAGATGAGAAGGATTAAGCGTGTATATCATTGTATTCCAGGTGTCGGCTATCCCAAAGGTATTGAACATCTTCTAGCGTTAATCCGTGTACAACCCGGAAACCTTTTACTCTCACTGTCTGTAGAAGCCTGGGATCATTTAACTTTTCGTAAACAAAATTATCGATTGTTTCTACAGATATCTGTAATAGATATGCCACCATTCCGACATAGACATCTTCGAGTTTGAAGCTACGGGTTGTGTTCATCATGAGGTACATTTTGTTTGCAGTGTATGACGTCATAAAATATCCGGGTAGACTGGAACACACGTGACCTCCGCAATATGGCGGATAAATATCAAAAGGATACTCTTCAACAGAAACTTTAAATTTAGCCCTCCCTCCGTCAAGGTATCTGTATGGTGGCTTAATTCCAAACTACCAAAAAGTATCAGCTGCAGGTCCAGAGGAAGGAAATAGTTTAGTTCACGATATAATTTAATTATTTGTTCTACATAATTGTTACAAGCAAAAAAGAAATGATATGTATCTTCAACAGGATGACCACATTGACAGTGTCGGAAATTTATTACATTTGCATGGAAAAGATCATTATTTAAGGTACTAGCTCTGTTTCTTAATCTAGTATGTAAAATAATAAGTTTTCTATCGCCAATCAGATAATTATTTGTACATATAGATTTTGAAAATTTAGGAGAGAATTCTTAAACGCCTTATGTGAAACTCTGTGTCTTATGTCTAGGTCTAATTGGTTCCAAAGTCGGATTGTAGAAGGGAAAAAGGATGAGTTTGAACGTTGAAGTCGGAAATTAGGAAGAGAATAATTATCGGCATTACGGAGGTTGTATTGTGAATTTTCTGAGACAAGAAGAGACAGTAGAGAAGTAAGATAGGTTGGCGTGAGATTATTGTGAATTTTGTAGAATAGTTGAAGTTTTCTCCTAGATCTTCTCTGAGATAAGGGTTCGAATCCACTTTCAGAGTATAAAGATGCTCTGCTAGAGTAAGAGGGTAAACCCGTGATTTTTCTAGTTTGTCTGCGTCACCGAGAGTACGCCCATCACATACCTCGCAACAGTATTCTAGTAATGGAAGAATATAGGATCTGTATTCCGTCTGTGCGTATTGCAGAGTTATCTTCACTTGGGAGCAGGTATTGATTGTTACGTCATTTGTATTTGAGAGTAACGTCATCAATTTTTGAGAAAATGACGTAATTTTCTCACACAAACCAATGACGTAACAATCAATACCTGCTCTCAAGAGAAGATAACTCTGCAATACGCAAAGACGGAATATTTTATTAAGAGTTGGTCTATTTTATATATATTTTAGTTTGCGCAGTACACTTACCTGTTTTGAAACTTTTTGGCATATATTATCAATGTGGTTACTCCATTTACAATTATTATCCAGAACTACTCCGAGGTGTCTATGATTATCCACGAAGTCAACACTTACATTATCAAAATTAATATCTATAACATAACCAAGTTCTATATTTGTAATAAGTAATGCTTTCGTTTTTACAGGGTTGAATTTAACTAACCATTTATCTGCCCAATTTTGGATCTTAACTAAGTCACTGTTAATTTTAGTTTCAATAGCCTGAGGAGATTCTTCCGAACATACTAAAGAGGTGTCATCTGCAAATAATTTGGATAGGCATTCAATATTATCGGAAATATCATCAATAAAGAGAATGAATAATAAAGGACCTAGAACCGAACCCTGTGAAACGCCAGCATTAGTATTTCTCATATGTGATTTAGTATCACCAACAAATACATGTTGTTGTATATCACTAACATAATTATTTAACCAATTCAACAATTTCCCCGAAATACCATAATTTTCTAGTTTTACTTTACTTTCAGTCCCTTGTGCCACACACGATCGAACGCTTTAGATATATCGCAAAAAAACTAAACATGTAGGATGTTTTTTTCTGTAGATTTTCACATAAAGTATGATAAATTTCAATTTATTGATGTACTGTAGAATGTCCAGGCTGGAAACCCGATTGGTATTTATATATCAATGAGTTTTCTAATAAAAAGATTGTATTAGTCTTTCTGATCTTTTAATATTTGTACTATCGAATGTTACAGAAGCTGATACTATGGTTATCGACCTTTTAGGTGTTAGTAAAACAAATATGTATCGTATAGTGTTCGGGATTTAATTTCAGATAACTATATTGTTAAAAGTGATCTTAATAATAAACACACTGTTTGATTATTTCAATGTGCATTCTTCGAAGTATTCGAAATTCTAATATTCATTTTATTTCTTTATCTATTTTTTTGTTCCTTTTTCATCCCTCATTCGTTCGTTTCTTCCAACATTCCAATTCGAGCACTTTTTACAACAATAAAACTGCCTGCAAAATCCATTCCTAAAACTATAAAATAATTATCAGTTTAAAGGTGAACATTAGTGTGGAGTTGGTCATACTGTTCAGACCATTCCATTGGTACAAGAGTGGCAAATCTGTCTTATTAATGCTACTGTTGGAAACAGGCAATCCTTCGCTTTGATTTACTAACACAGATTAAACACACTGAGCGATTATTTCAATTAAGGATTAACCTTTTATTTTGTTTTGTTTATGAGATAATAAATCCAATAGAGCACGAGGTCGCGTTTACGAACAATTTACTGACTGCTCCATTGGATTTATTTTCTCATAAACCAAACAATATTTTCATTTAACAATAAAATCATTTAAAGAGGCGGATACATGCATTTGCCTTGTGTAATCTTCGTTCAAAATTATTTTGACGTCATGTTAAAGCCGTTGACAGATAGCTTAACCCCGCCCACTTTATCCGTGACAACAAATGAAAAAAGTTCCTCCATTTCAATATCTTTATTCACATAAAATATCCATATTTAATTTCATACACTATCTTCACAATTGTATTAGTAGGTAATGGAATAAATATTTTTATATTTGTATGAAATTGAGGTACTGGGGTAAAATACTTTGTAGAAAAAGTAATGACCGCGGACGTCCATTTTTTAAAAGTGATGCGCTCAAAGGTAGAGAGTGCTAACTACCATGTCGTCGAGCGATAGTGACAAGCCTAGGCCTGGTGGAAGTTGAATGTGCAGTTATTGATATTGCTGTTTGTAAGCAAACCAGAGGTTTGTACAGATGGCATGTACACTGTCTGATGTGTATAAATCGTTTGTCGACCGAGTGACTGTTCATTTCTAGGAACGATAGCCATCGTTTCTGTGTCATGGTGGCCGACACTCATAGATGAGAGAGTGGAGCTGGTGGGGCGTATCGACGAACAATCGCGACTGTAGCATCTAACACTAGCTTCATTTTTATGACCAGTCATGAACATGATCGGTCTTGTCTCGAACCCGACATCATTTGGTGTCTCGAACGCACGGTAGTCTAAACGCTAGCGTTTGCTTGTAAACATTGACACGAGGTTTGCGGAAAGAAGTCTGCCCATATTTACATATATTCATACGCGGTGAGAACTGGATCACGTTCTACACTCAAGTTATTGAGAAATCAACAGACTTGCCTACACTGACGTTATCGATTCCGAAACAGTGGGAATTGTAAATATTGTGCATTCTTAGGACTATTCGACTGTTTATTAATAATGCTGTTTCTTTAATCATTCGTTTGTACATTTATTTCATTCCTCCATATTGTTGCGCAATATAAACTATCTGCCAATCAATCTAGAAAACTGTACGATATGTATTAGTATTAATGAGAACATCAATAAGGAGGTTATATATAATTATACCGGAAGTTACCTAAGTCATAATCCACGGTTCGCAGTTCGACAGACAAGTTAAGGCGAACACATTTGGTAGCGGTATGTCAAAAAACTATAATATATACTTAAACGATTACTTAAAGAATTAAAATGCCTTTTAAAATGTTATTTAAGGTGATTATAATCTGTCAATCACGTAAATAAATAGGAAGTTCACCCTATGTCATAATATTAAACGGCTTAGCCCAAAGTGCGCATGCTCGGATATATGTATGTATATATATAGATATCTCACTCAGTGTATCGGTGTGTGTTTACATGTGTATAATACATTTTAGAATTGAAAAAAAAAATTCACTGACTTCTTGATTTGAGAAAAATTGAGAAAAGAAAAAAATAGTTGGGTCGGAATTATTTTGTTCAGACTGATATCTGTCAAAGGTCTTTCAGTTCGGTTGAGGGGATGATTATTTGGAATGATGACAAACTTTGGTCGAGTAAGGGGGAAATAATGGTAATGTAAAATAATGTCAATGTTAAAAGCTCAGTACCATTGACAAAACAAAAATACAAAGTATAAGTAATGGCTTTATTTTTGTCTCAAGTCTGCTGTTAATTTCAGTTTAAGAAGAATAAGTGCAATGGTTGCTATAATTTAACACAAGAAGCTGCAGACTTGTTGATCTTGCCCGAATATTTTAATTAGTAAATCGCATGTAAAATTGCCAAATGAAACATACTTACACCACGTGCCGCTCCTTGGTAAATAAACGTGTTTTTGTTCATTGTTAACTCAAAATGATTTGAACCTATGTCAAGTGTGACCATGTCAGTAGGATTGACATATGTTCATGTCAATGATTTCCAGTGTTTGTTGTTTGTTTCTTAACACCATTGCAACATCTAAGACGATATACAAATGGGTACATAGGGAAACAATACTGATAATAAAGATTAAATAATTGAGAACAAAAATTATGAAACAAGTTATTTCAACTTATATTATTCACTCCTATTTTCCCGCGGGGGTCTTATTGTGGGAGCAAACCGGAGTACCCAGAAAAAAAACGACGTTGTCGGGCCGGTGACCATAATCAGGGAATCGAACCCCAGGCACCTTGGTAAAAGGCAAGTGTGCTATCAACTGCACCACCCGACCACCCCTCATTTATTTATCATAAACCTTTTAATTGTTATTGTTCCGTTAAAGAACAGGAGCCAGTTGTTCAAAGGATGATTAACCTAATCTGTGATAAGCGCAAATTGCGTTTTTTTGTGTATCTTTGAAATACACCTATCCACCGAGTTAAAACTGTCCAGATATCAAGTATTTAGTAAAGTTAATGTACGTGTAAAATTACAAGTTTTTACCTTGCATATTGACGAAATTATTAAAGGTTGAAAAATGTCATTAAACAGTGATTAAGCTAAGCACCCTTTGAACAACTGGGCCCTGATCGTTATTGTATAGCTCATTCTTTAATTCGTTTTTGGGCCATTTTTTTTATAAATCGTTACTGTTCCTTTGTAAGATAATTATTGTGTGTGTGAGGGTGCGTGGGTGTGTGTGTGTGTGTATGTGGGGTAGGGGTAACAAAAATACTTTACGAATTTCAAAACTAGGTGGTGTACTGTTGGATTCGAATTAATAATGAATAACGTGTGTATACTATTTACCAATCAACAACTTGAAAGAGACTATTGTTACCATAAAGGTTACCATTATGAAAAGATTCTTGTGACACAACCAATAAGTGTTTCTATGTGACGTTGCGATGACTAATACGGTATGTACACTGCCACCTCCATCAGACAAATGACCAGTGAAGCGTATGTGCACAAAGTCATAAAATGTGTACGAGTTGTCCACAAATCGATGTACCGAAATGACTCGATTGAGCTACGCTTTGTTTAATATTTTTTCATTCTCTTTTCATAATCCTTACTTACCAACCTGAAGAAAATGTTTAGAAACATCAAGGTTACGGCAAACCTCGGGGATTGTGAAATCCACCAGTAGAGTCTACCGCCGTGTATCTGGTTATATAAATGTACGATACACACGTGTGAAAGCACTTATGAAATATGGCAATAGTTTGCCAAAAAAATAACAGCGTTGCACTATACAGCTACTTGGTCCTTCTAGGGCTCATCGGTGATGCTCGGGGCAAGTTGGAAAACTGAACAAAAAAAAAGTATATGGCGCCTGACCCTTGACCTGGCCTATTTACATCTATCGACTACTGACCTACCTGTTTCCTTTGCTTATCAGGATAATCTCTGGCTACCTGGACAATGGAGACAAAGACACAGTCACGTAGTTTAAGTATTATCTATCATTGTTTCATTCTAAGCAGCTTTATTTTCAATGTATGCCTTACAGTTTACGTATGTCTAGACTTGCAGGCATTACGTAAGAGTTATGACGAGTTACAACAGAGTGTTACTGATAATACTCTACAAATTCAGAAGTATACCGAACTTAACGCATTGGTAAGTTTTATTTACTTCAATATATCACTTGTTCTGACGTATCAGCGGTATATAGAGACTGATTTGCACGAGACTTTCATTCATAAATATTCATCTTCCATTCACGAATATTCGTCTTCCATTCATGCATATTCATCTTCCATTCATGAATATTCATCTTCCATTTATGAATATTGATCTTCTTATGGTATTAATCCTGTTTTTTGCGTTGTTGTTATTTTGTTAATTCAGACAACTGTTTTTTATCATATTTCTTTGTTCTCTAATTATTTATTTTTTATTTTAAGTCCCGCAAGGTACTGGTTTCTTTTCAAAAATGATAAATGATTTATCTAAGCTAAAGTCATCTCGGGAACATTTTTCAATTGTATAATCACATGTTTTGAAGTAGCGTCTTGTCGATTTGTGAGAATGTGAACGAAATAAACTTAAACATACCTTTACATTCTTTTAGGGGAAATGATACATCTGTAAATAATTTAGAGACCAAATTCTCTATTCCAGAATGGGAATAGCAAGAAAGAAGAGACCTTATCCCGAAAAGGGAGACAACTTACGTCACACAATTTGATATCAGATTTGATACACGCACAGGTATGTTTGAAAATGATGCATTTTTTTGGTGAAAATTGTAGACTGGTTACGAAAACATAATGCCTTGTCGACAAATATATAATTTAAAACAGTTTAAGATAAAATTCAAGGCGCGTTACGTCATCTGTAAGAGACGAAATTGCAAGCGGTTTCCATATTGCCGTATATTTTAATAATGTGATACATTAATATATCCCAATATAGATATCATTATCTTAGAAATTCGATGTATTTTCTGACAATTTTATGTAACAAGCGTAGAAGTACAGCAAAGGAAGACATATAAAAGTATGTGTGAACTGCCCGTCCTGTCTCCGAAACAACGATTATATGAATGAATATGGTCACCGTATGATGACTTTTTAATATATAGTTTACTTAAGGAATGAATCTTTTTTTTTTTCAAAAATAATGAGGTCATAACAACAATGGCTTTCTGGACAACTTCCATGAATCGCAATAGCAATTCATGGTAAATATGACCAGAAAGAAAATGTTGTTATGACACAATGAATGTTGAAAAAATCAATTACATATATTTACATTTTTAAGTGCTTTGAACTATTCCGATGCAAGCATTAATAAAAAAAAATCATACTGGTATTTACATGGGAGCAAATCAATTCCGTCTTTGCGTGTTGCAGAATTATCCTCTCTTAGGAGCAGGTATTGATTGTTACGTCATTGGTTTGTGTGAGAAAATTAGGTAGTTTTCTAAAAAAATTGATGACGTTACTTTCACAAACAAGTGACGTAACAATCAATACCTGCTCCCAATTCTTGTTAGCATAACAAAACTACATTGAGGGCTGTTTCACGGCGGACGTGAACAGAGTGCGCCATGTGCTTCGTCATTGTAGTGTATAAATACGCAGTGATGAGGTCATCTGTGTTATGCAAAAATTAATGTCATTTTCGTCAATCAGCCCAAGCATACAGAATGTAAATATAAACAAGTAGTACACAAACATGACGATGATAAACATACGACACATACATCATTGCGTTATCTATATTTAAAGTAAAACGAATCGAATACTACATAAGTACACAAATGCATAAGCACATAAATACATAAGTACATAAATACATAAGTACATAAATAGCGCGACACACTCGACGTTTACTACTGCTTATAATCCTCTTCTTCCTGGCTATTGTACAAGGGAGTTAACTCTTCCATGCTTATTGGTCATTTACTTAAAATAAACAAAATAAATAAATATACAACATTTGATATAGCGCCCTATCTAGCTAACATAAGCCACTCTAAAGCGCTTTACAGTACATCGATAAAGAATTTTAATACAGTCTATAATATTAGCATGTTTATTAATCAATACAATATTGAGGAATTCGCAGGAGCTGCCTTATCGGGCGCTAACTACTAGTCATATGCCACCTGGCTAATATCTCCCTATGTGTGTATGCATGTATGTGTGCTGGAGATGTATTGTGTTCTGTTTGTAGTGGGACCGTGCTTCCAACGGTATCATTAATAGTGCCACCTAACTTGAATGCTACAGTACAGATACCGCAACACCCACCCCAGACCATTTTATACTCCACCTGAAGTTGTGTGGGCAGGTGAAAAACACTTTCTCTAATATTCCATGCGTACGGCGACTTCAGGGATCGAACCCCGGCTGCCTGCTTGGAAGGCCGGAGTATTAACCACTCGACCACAACCACGTGCACTCGACCAATCCGCCCATGAAACAGAAATTAAATCAAAGCGCATAATTCAGTCTTGTATGCTTCCGCTATATAGTTCGTTATTGAAAATAGAAAGTAGAATCTATGACACTCACCTGTGTTACATAAAGTCTTCTGATACTCTTCTCCAAATAATAATCCATACTTTAAATAATTGCTGAAAACAAATGTTTATCTCCGGTGCATTCTACGAGTGTTCTGGTGGTGAAATTCGTGCACTGGGTTTGAGCGTTTGGAGTGTTTGTTTTCGTGACTCTGATTTAAGAAAGCACATGTGAAGACTGTCAAGCATTGACGCTATCTGTACGGTCTAGCTCTTTATATATTGTTAACTTGGAAGAAGGAAATATATATATACTTATAAACCGTATGAGTGATGAAGCATAACCTCTATTTAGATGATTCAAACGGAAACGTAATATGACAAATCGTGCTTAGGTTGATGACGGTAATTAACCATTGTTGCTACCACGGACGGGACGATATGTGAACTGTGTATGGTTATCAAACATTTCTGTAATACAGCATGCTTTTTCTGTTGTATTTATTTATGAAAATGTAACAATTTAAGAACATGACACGACTGTCGCTGCTGTTTGACAAGGATTCGCGCTGTGTCATATATTATCCAATCCGGTGTAAGGGACATAACCCTTACGTTGAGAAAAATAATTCAAATATATTCCAAGAGCATTTGTGAGATTTTGTGATGAATTGTATATTCAATGACAGTAAATAAAGTATTTACATATATTAATAATTATTATTATTATGAATAAAAAATAAATAAAAATAAAAGGAGTACAATGCCGATCTCTTTTCTCCATGCATGTTTTCCCACTACTGTTAATTATCCTTCCCTTCAGAAGCACTAAATGCACCTATTCTTTATTACCCGTTCACCGATTGCCATTCTGCATGTAACTGCTCATGTCACATCATTGGAGGATGCTAATTAATGAAAGTTACAACAATGCGTCACAAAAGAGGGTGAAAAAAGAGGAGAGGGAGAAATGTTTTTAAAGCATCATTTAAGAGGCGATTGATTTTGGAAATTCCAAAGGCAACATCATCACATGACCTGATTTTCAATTAGCAGAATACAGACCACATATCTCAGGTATTATAGTTGATATTGATGCTCAACGTGTTAATGAAGCAATTCAATTTAAAGTGGTGAGCGGCTTTAATGTCACACTGACATAATTCTAGTTTGGTTATAAAATAAATTTGTAGTGTCAAAAAAGCATATAATTTATTTTGAAATATTCATATTTGTTAGATCTAAATGCCATCGAAAAATATTTTTTTTTATTTTTAGGCACAGATATTGCAAACGCATTGCACCAACAGCAGCAGAGTTTGCATGCAAGGTAATTTTTTATTGTTTTATCGGATATTAGTAACCAATATCTTAATGATTTTGGAATTATCGGAAACATTAAAAAAGAAGTATGATAAAGGGTCTAGCCATGCTATGACGGGACATATAGAGATATCCCGAATGGGAACGTTAAAGTGATTAGCTATGGGATGAGGGGGTTCAATAGAGGTGTTCCGAAGAAGTGTGATTAAGGGTCTATACGTTAAGTACATGTATCTGCCTTCTGTTTCAGAGAAGTCTCTGAAGTCACAACAATAATTCAGAAAGAAATGATTTTCAGACGATATTTGAGCTTCTAAAATCTGGTTAATCCATTATGAAATTAATGGGGTTTTTTCAACTGTACAAAACTAAAGGGGAAAATTAATTTCTGATGACACTTTACCTATCTTTAGGGCCTAAAGGAGACGCTGGTCCGAAAGGGGATACTGGATATGTTGGGCTTCCAACGAACCCGAGTAGGACATGTATTTGTCTAAGTAAGTAAACAAAAGTATCCTAAAGTATGTAAGGCCGGCGTTTATATAATAAGACGACAGTTACCGTGAGGTTTCCGATTTTCTTTTATTATTTTCCGCATGATTCGAACCCGGGACCCTTCCGTTAACGCTCTATCAATTGAGCTACCTGGTCTTTATGTGACGGATTACATTGAGTAACTTTTGCAAACAGCTGAAATAGATTACTCATTAAAAAATGGTGCTTTGAAGGCTGAAGTCGAATAAATTCTATAAAATAGATAGGATTGATAAAAACACATTAAGAGATCAATCGGAGAATAGATAAAAAAAAAAAACCAAAAAAAAACAACAGAACAGTTACTACTGTCACAGAAATGAAGCTAACACATACCGTTTAAATATCCCCCTGTCACTGCAACAAATTCGGGCATTGGAGTTTTTTTCCCCGGGCGAATACTGTTTTTCATTCATCTTCCTGAACAGAAAACCATAACTACCAGCCATATGACATATAAATAAAATTTAAAAAAAAATGACGGCAAGGCGTGACCGAGACTTGAACCCAGGACCTCCAGTCATTATACCGTCGCTCGAATCAACTTAACTATTAAACATATACTTATCTGGTCAAGCATCACCATAGTTGCGTAAGCAACGAAATTAAAGGGAGGTAACTGTATGTACGAAACATCAAAGTGGAACTCTCTAGTGTTTTGCATTCAGTAAGACATAGATCCGTTCAATTGTGAAACAAGCTCTATTTACGTTATTACTCGTTCTTGCCGGCCCCGATGTAAGCGCGCCTGTGTCTCAATAAGGAAGGCATCTGGAGTATCCGGAGGAAACCATAATGGTCCGACAAATATCCCAATACCTTTACACGTCCGATCGGGGAATCGAACTCCGGTCGTCATGGTGAAAGGCGAGTACGTCATGCAATTGGCCACCCGAACACCTTTTACAAATCCATGTTGCTCCTTTCTCCCGTCGGGCGATTTTTTTGGACATGTTTCATTATATTGTATTTCAGTTTCTCCAACTATTCATAGCGGTAACGTTACACCACACCTGCAGCCAGAACGACCGACTGTGTTGGACTGTTCTGCCTCGGGAAATCCAGATCCCTTTATCACGTGGTCCAAGGACGGTGTTAGGATAAATAACAAGTCGAATCAACATCTCACTGTTACTCATCCGGGTAACTATACGTGTACCGCGGAAAATATTGTGGGCGTGGCTACTTTTTCCTTTTATGTGACGTGATTCAAAATAAAGTACATCTTTTGAATTAGTATCTTCGTTTTGTTTTCATATCCCAGAAAATATCATTTTAGTTCGGCACAAAATGATGAGTTTAGTCCATTTCGATTTTGATTTATGAACGCTATTTCTTCTGATAATGTTCACACGGTAACTCGAGTATCAGTGGAAATGTAGTGAAATGCAACGACCGAATCGGGGTTCGAACCCGGGACCCTTCCGCTAACGCTCTACCAATTGAGCTACCTGGACACCGACGATCGACCCAGTCCAGTTCCTCTACATTCCTCCCTCCTTTTGTATAAGCATGGCCCCCGAAGACAAAGCTAGTTACAACTCAGGTTCGTATATCCTCTTGTTAGGCATTCACCCAGTGCTTGAAACAAGAGTTTGCAAGTTCGCCAATATTGTAACAGGAGAAAAAAACAAAAGACCAGACAGGGGTTCGAACCCTGGACCCTGGTCTGATCTTGAAACAGGAGAGGTGTGTATACAATCCTCAAATATATCAATATTTGTTTTTTTTAGGATTATTAGTGAATTTCAAAAAGGTAATGATTAAAGTGTGTATATCATTAACCACGTCAGTGCTAAAACGAGATAATTGTGACCATCAAGGTTGTTTTGGCTTTCACCGACATGACATCTAAATGAAATCAGCTGTGGAATGGTCACATCTTGAGAGAAGGAGTAGATAACTGAAAAAAAGTTTTGGGATGGGCACCATAAGGAACAAGAGCAAGGGGGTGACCAAAAACCAACGTGGCGAAGAACGGTTGGGAAAGAACACAACCATATAAGTTGGAGTAGCTGCAACACCACAAAAACAGCAGCGCAAGACACACAATTAATAAAGCAATGATGTATGTCATGAAAACACTACAGTTACTGCCTGAATCTGGAAAGCAACAGAACCAAGGCCTGGGAGCCTGGGGAACAGGAATACATGCAGTGATTCACGACCAATACTGGTATAACTAACTGACGGGTGGCCTTATGCGCCTACAGGCGCGAAGAGACTTCAGATCAAGGTTGCTTCAAACCTCGGGACTAAAACATTCATCAGCAGAGTATTTCAATTATTTTTTTTTATCTGGAAGATGAAATGAACGGAGGACACACACACACAAGTTTTATATAAGTGTTTTCCTAAATGCTATGCGTATTCTATTAAGTATTACCCTTTAAGTGATAAGAAAAAAATAACACATCGTCAATTTGACCCATTACAGGTTGCAGGCATTGTTGACCTTCGTGAACTTAGATCCCCTTTAAGATAAAACAAAATAATATGTCATTTTGAAGTAAATATCTCGCGGGCCATTTTAACAATGCACCATAAAATCCCTTAGCTAATGTACAGTGCAAAGAAAACACTTACACTTTATGGTATCACGGTAGTTATAAAAATGAATATTATTACATTTCGTGTTCCATGGTCTAGTGTACCCTGAAGCAGGGGACGCAGTTGCGCAATTAACCAGCAGATTTCAATGAAAGTTTCACATAATGCTAATGCAATTATGTAGATAATCTGATATCATTTTATGAAAGTCTAAGCATTCTGATAAAAAGGGATTTGTTTTTGTAAAATACAGAAAAAAAATATTTTTTGTCAATTTTAACAAAAAGAGTGAACAAATTTAACAAAATATACACGAATTTTGTGTATATTTTGTTAAATACTCTTTCTGTATAAAACTATGTCTCCAGGTTACTTTTAGCTTGTATATACTAACTTTCATCCATACAGTTTAAATAAAAAAACACTTTGTATGACATGTTTTAGATATTTTGTGATAAATATAGTATTTGTAAGGTTAATTAGCAAGGTTTCTTTTCAATTTTTTATAGTTGTTATAGTTTTGAACAATGCCATACATCCTAAAAATGTGAAAATGTTAAAATTGACAAAAAATCAATTTTTCGGTATTTTACAAAATAAATCCCATTTTATTAGAATGCTTTGATCATGTACCCTTTGGGCATTATTCCACAGCCCGCTTACGCATGGTATATTTACATGGAAGGTGCATATGTAACCAGAGGCTATCGCTTGGTATGCCGTAATCACGTACACGCACACTCGCATTTTGATAGGGATCTTGAAATTTTACCAAACACTATTGTCTTTGTTTTTGTAATGCGTTTGTAAAAATGGTTTACCTTAACAGAGCGTAACTCGCTCGACAACAAAAATCGTAGCGACCCCGAGCTTGTAAGTTGGTGTTAGCACGTGATATTTGTACATGTGATGTCGGTAAACAAAACACATCAGTCTGTATTCATTGCGTTTCATATATGTCTTTGTATCGTAAGCTTTATTTCTGAGGTACGTTTGATTACATAGGTGTACCCGAATGTTTAAATAGTACCAACTGTATGCAGGTCGGTGGTTTTTCTCCAGGTTCTCCGGCGTCCCTCCACAAATAAACCTGGTACGTTCTTAAATGCCCATAGCTGGCAATAGGACGTACAGATAAACAAACGCGTACCATGGAGCCGTTCTAGTGTACAATGTAGTCCTCCCAGCCTGCTGTTTAAGCATATTCTTACTTTTTATTACAAACTTACTAATAAATACGGGTTTTTTGTATATGCGATACGACACAATTTCTCTTACCCATATCAGCCCTCGCCGTATCACAACCCAAAAGCCGTATCAGCACCTCCTTTACCGCCAACATATTTACATGCTCCCCCCCCCCCCCTTTTTTTCTCTTGTTTTCCTTTGCCTCAATTGATCACCAAACCCCTTTATAACATCGATATTTCTCTCGACAAATGGTGGCAATATAACGAGGTTTTATTACATACTTACAGTACTAATAAATACGTTTTTTTTGTATATGCGATACGACACAATTGCTCTTACCCATATCAGCCCTCGCCGTATCACACCCCAAAAACTCGTATCAACCCGCAAAACCCGTATCACACCCCTTTTGGGTTTTTTATCGTTTTTCAATATTTCAAAAGAAAATTTTATTATAAGATAGTAGCTTTTATTAGTAAGTATGTAATAAACAGAATAAAACATGATTTTTTCCATATCACACCCAGTATCAACCCGAGACTGCAATATCAGCCCAAGGACTGATATTAGTCGAGGCTTTCCGTTAGACGGCGGTTGTTTCGGACAGGGTTATCTGGATTATCCATAATATCACTTTGAAACGGACTGAGAAAGGGATGTGTCATTTTTCGTACATATAGCTGAACAAAATTAATGCCACCTTAGGGATTCCTGCACCACTGCCAAAGAAAAGTAACTGTAGTTTTGATTTGTTATTTAGGAAAAGAAATATACTTAACGGACTTACTGTATGAAACAAAGACGGCATAAACCAAAAAACAATCATCAACAGTGCTTCGACAGTAAAAATTAAACGAGGTCAGACAAAGATTCGAACCGATAATTAAAATGTCTCTTTAAGTAATTTAGAAACTTTGTCAACGTTAGTACCTTAGCCCAGTCGACAGAGCGGGAACCTTCGGTAATTTCCGTAAACGAGAAAATACTCTCTTTTACGGAAAGTGCCGACGATTCCCGATTGGCGTTACAGTTGAGCATACAAGCGGGCGGGGGAAGTGGGGAGGGGGAGGGTCACTTTACAATGGAAAAGAAATACACTTTCATTCATCAATTTTTGTCAAAGGAACTTTACATTCGCATTATCAAGATCAGTCAATAAGATATAGATAGTATATGTGTCAATCAAAGTCCTTTTGTCATTCTAATTATTTTATTAATAAAACAGATTAGTGTTTGTGTAACTATTTTTACGATACACATTTTCAAACAGATGACGCAGACTGTAATCTGGTTTTTCATCGAACTTTAAATTTCGACAATAATGTAGATAAAGACAAAACTATGTTGGAACATCTTTACAAAGATCCCGGATGGGAATGGAGATTTTTAAGTTACACATTTTGTCAGGTAAACTCTGACCTTTGACGTTACCGAGATGCTTCCGGGGCAAATACAAGAGGTAGTATCCCAGAGATTCCATATCGTCCCGACGTGTGTTGTTTATGCCCAAATCGGTGGCAATACTTGAGAATACTTGTTCGAGCCTTACACCAAAAGTTGTCTCGTACGCGTAAGGTTTGTGTTTACCTAAATGTTATCTAAATACCTTTTGGAACATCCGAAGTCAATAAGTAAAACAGTATTACAATATAGCCCAGTTTCCAGCACAAACTGTTTAGGTATCACGTCACCGTGGATATATTCCTTTGAATGTAAGTACTCAAATCTGGCAATAAGTTGAATGGCAATCAGATTCATCATTCTCAAATCGTTTTTGGTACCAAACCATTTCAAGACAAGGATTCCCTTGCCGTCCCTGTAAGGCAGATAGTACCTCGGCTTCCTCCTTTAAAACCTGTCTACCAGATGTCTGTTCTCAATCGTACGTCCTGGCCCTGGAAGATAATTAAATTTATCATATGAATACCGTGTAATGCAGTGTCATAAAGCCATCATATAAATTATGCTTATGTGACGTGTGTTTAATTTCAATCCATAAATGACGTAACAATCGAATAGGACGAATCAATGTGACGTCACGTCATTGTGAAGCGGACCCAATTTCCATCGTTTCAGAGGCGGCCAAGTGCAAAATATTCGTTTTAGATAACAATAGTAGTCTATATCTACGGCCGTTACCCCGGACGCTTGGTTGCTAAGGTAAAACCACGTGACAGGCGGCCATATTTGTTAGTTGCCACGTAACCGGTACCCGAGTCGACAGTACGGAACATAGTACAATGGGAGGATTAGTCACAAACCTTGGAGTAATCCCTACAAAAGAATCAGATACAGATTTGTGACATTACCTGTAGAAAGATATACACAGAGCTAGGGACCTAACACTAGGACGATCAAAGTGGCGATGGACCAGCAGGGTTTATCCCTCTTTAGAAAAGCAGATTAGGGCAGATACAATAGACGGGAGAGAAGATGGGTCGTAGTAAATGTGTATTGAAGAAGAGAGGGGTT